TGGATGTTGGTGCAAAAGCTATTGGTTTTTTAAACGTTTTTTAAATCGTGAACTTACCAGTAGCTTTTGATGTGGAGGGTCATTATATGCTGGAGATACTGTTGCTATAAAAACTAAATAAAATTGCCGTAAAAAAATAATAATAATATTAAAAGAATGTACATATACCGTAGAAATGGTATAACAGAAAGTTTTTGCTGTTTTAAAACCTTTCCGTTTCCGTTTGGAATTACAACAGTTTGTATATGTGCCTCCCACTTGTTAAGGGACCAAAAGTAATTGGATAGAATATTAATCATAAATCAAACTTTAACTTTTTATGATTTCATGCTGAATTCAAACGCATACATTTAAAAAATGTGCAAGAAAAATATAATTCCACAACTGAGTTAACTGAGTAAACTTTTTGTCTAGTAAGAAAAAAGGTGCATAAACAATAGTGGAAAGACATTTACCAAATTCCAGCACGCTCATCAAAAATATCATGTTGTTTTGCTTTAACACATCATTCGATAACAAAAACGGGTGCTGGGGTGCAGCTTTAATGGACGTTCTAAAGTTTCTTGTTCCTTCTAAACCTGTTTAAAATTATTTAAAACGTTCCCTTAGGTGAAGTTTGTCATCAAAATGGTTAAGCATTATTATCTCCCTGAAATATCTGGAGCGTCTGTAATCTCAAAGAGCGAACCGTACCCTCATTTAATTTCATCTTCTGAGGTGCAAGTAATTTATTAAATAAGAGTCCAAATGGCTTTTCCTAATGCAGCAATTTCCATTTTTCTTTTTGATATTTGGTGCCAGTTTGTCAGGAAGTTTTTGTTTTTTAATCTTTACATTTAAACAGTGCTGTATTCACAAATGTTTTATGCAATATTCTGGTTTTAAACATACATCTAATTTGCATCTTTGAATGGAAATGTGGCTATAGATACCAGGGCCGGGTGATATGGCCCAAAAAAATATTGGTCAATATCAGTAAATATCCCAATAAATGCTAGTTAAGCTGGGTTTTTTGATTGTATGTGGAAGCCAGACAGTTAATTGTTTAATTCAAGCTAGTTTTTTTATTGTCAGAACATGATAAACACGTCAATAATTACATAGTTATTATGGATGTCCCAATCAGTTTTTTTTGCCCTCAAGTCCAAGTCATTTGATTTTGAGTATCTACTGGTACTGAAATCCAATCCGATACTTCTATAAGACATACAAAAAGAATGAATAAAAACAAAGAAACAGATCCAGGATGTTCCTTATTTTTTATTTAGTTTAACTTATTTTAACCTTCAACAACTCTGTTAACAAACAGAGCACATCTGTTAGGTAGCTTGAACAATTAAGTAATAAATAACATAAATTCTTTACTTTTGGACCTCAGTGCAACAGTAAATTTAAAAAAAGCTAATATAAAAACAAATAGCACCTCAACTTAAAATACCCAGCAGACACGTAAACAAAAAAAAATAAATAAATAAATAAAAGTGCCACAGTCTTTGCAAAGCTAGTAGTGTGCCTTTAGGAACTATAGATGCATAACTATAGATGTGTTAGAAATATTGAGAATGTATATTGTTTGAATATTTAATCAGTTCCATGCATGTTCAATAAAAAAGGTCAGGAGAGAGTTTTTTTCAATGTCAAACATTTAAGTAATTTATTGGATATAAATGAAGAATTTGATTCACAGAATTCTGGTATCCTAAATGCAATGCAAGAGTTACATTCAGGAGGTGCGCAACAACTTTAACTTTAACTTTTCTGATTCACGCTTTTATACGTAGCTGGTATAACAGGTGGTTTAGTGGAAGTCGTCACTTGTCAATCATACTCCAGTCCTCTATTGGCCGCATACATACATACCTCCTCTTTTTCTACTAATTCTCTGCACAACGTCAAAAACACAAGACTTCTCAACTGCAATTTCTGTGCCCACAGGAAGTTTCACTGCAGAGCTCAAGTTAATTTTAGACTATCAGGCCTTTGCATTTCTATCAGCTTAATCTACTTCTGCAAAAATGCTTCATTAGTATGCAAAACATATCACACATACGTTTGGGTAATATATATCACCCTAAGCAATACAAATACAATTGTTTAATGAAAAGAAAAAAAAAAGACAAAAATAATAAAAAATATATTCATTTTTCCACAATAATATACATATATATTCGAGTCCACATCAGGAGGTTACTTCCGATTCCGATCGAGTCTAAAACCATGTAATCTGGCACAATTTCTGATAAGGTGATCGGTTCTGGACATCCCTAGTAATTACTTAATTAATGACTTTATGTATTTAATGGAATTTGTATTCAGAATTATTCAAAATACGGGTGATTTTAAATCATTAAAGACGTTTTTGTTCCCTGAGATGATGCAGATTTCAGTTTATGTTCAGTAAAATCGACATCGAAAAAATGTTATTTAAATATTAATTAAAAATTAAGTATTATTTAAATAAAACATTTGTCCTAGTGCTAAGTCATTAAATGCAAGTCATTAGTCTTTTTTTCTTAGGGAAAATTGTAGGAGTCAACAACATATATGAATACTTCAGAATTTACTACTACTTAATTTTTACGTTTACAGACTTTTTTTTATTCTGTAAACATTTTATATTTGAAAAACATTTGGATACAGCGAGATTTCACTGTTAAAAGATTGATATATATCCATATGCACAGACAGATAGTTGGGCGATCAGTTTAAGTAGGTAATAAAAGTAGTGTTTCATGTCTCGTAGGCAGCGTGTCTCCTAAATATTAGTCTAGACATTAGTGCAGGTAGAGTGCAGAAATGGAGAAGGGTGTTTTTGATGAAAGCAGGTTGCTTGTGAGTTATGACTCTGTCTCCCGCTTGCTGTGTCATGACCCAGAAAAGTGTGCATCCTTTCACTCTCCCTATGGGGCTGCCATGGGGGACTATTTCAAGACACATCGATTGAAATATAATTTGTTGGTGTTTTTCTTTCTCTGGCTTTTCAGGAGGGATAAATTATGGATATCCATGGAATACTGTGGAGGAGGTTCGCTGCAAGACATATATCACGGTAAGTTACACCGCACAAAGGTAAACAATCAACTGCAGCGCTAACTCAAACTCACTCGGTGGTCAGTATTTCAGTGCAATGCAATATCTCCTTTCCATTCATTATTTAAAGAAATATGTCACCCAGACATGAATGTTCCGTCATCATTTATTCATCCTCATCTTGTTACAAACCCTTATGATTTTATTTCCTCTGTAAAACACGACATGATTCATTTCGAAGACTGAGGAAATTCACCTGATCGCCTCCAAAATTGGTCAACATGAAGTCAAAATACTGAGGATGCTAAATTGCATCCCGAAAAGTTATAGCAAGAAGTAGGTTTTACATTCATTGACATTTATAGACTGATTTTAATTCAACATCAGGAACTGGAACTGACACCAGCAAGTGTCTCTTTGAACATTCATTGAAATCATCAGCTTATTTTGACCCGATTTGCTTCAACTTCACTCAATATAAACTCAAGGAAGGCAGAAGTAAAGCTGTGAAAGAATTTCTGATATCTTAAATAATGTTACCAAGGCAACAGGTAAAGCTGTTCTTGGCTGCTTTTGAGGCTCTTAACGTGCTAGGAATTTCATAACTCGACACGCATATCAGTAGAGATGTAATGATTCACTGCAAAATCGATACAGATATGTGACTATAAAATTCAGTTGCGATGTTTAACGAATTTCGATACGTGTTTTGAACAGTAGAGATGGAAATACTTGCTCAGTATGCAATTTAGCGACAAACAACTGGTTGTAGGAAATAGTTTAAAGCGGCAACGAGTGTGGGTGTTTATATTAAGGATTCATCCTCAATCTATTTAGATGAGTGCCGGAAATCAGATGTTTAGCCAACTTGTAACTCAGGCATTGTAACCTACAACTTATTTCAGTATTAATTGCTGGGAATGTAATTTAAATGATGAATTGAGAGAAACATTACTTTTAGAGTTTTCTGTCGTTAGCAGTGGTTGGGGGTTTTGCTGGCGCCACCCTTTGACTTTTTGAATTCATTGATTTTTATAATTACTAAAATTATTTAATGTGTATCTATATAACCAATTTATCTAGTATGGCCATACACCCAAAGCGCTTCACAAACAATCATGAGGTGGGGATTGGGGGGTATCTTTCCACACCAACACCAGTGTGCAGCATCCACTTGGATGATGCAACGGCAGCCACAGGACAACAGCGCTGTTGTCCACACACCACACACCAGCTATTGGTGGAGAGGTGAGATATTTATAGAACCATTTTGTTGGATGGGGAGGATTGGAAGGCCATGATTGTTAAGGGTTAATGAAGGAAATTTGAACAGAACACTGAGGTTACACCAATACCCTTTATGAGAATTGCCGTGGGATTTTTTGATAACATCGGATAACATCACTATACTGGGGCATTAGGACTCACACAGACCACAGGTTGAATGCTGCCTGCTGGTCTCACGAGCACCACTTCCAAAAGAAACTTAGTGTCACCATGTGGTCTCCCATTCAGGTACTACAAAGTGTATAGTTGCAATCATAACAACTAAAAAGCCTCAAAAGTACATTATGATTTCCAACAGCTGCAATATTTGTCAAACTGTAAATTGTCCTCTTAATGTTGCTGTATGTGGGCGGAGTAATACACAAGGGTAAAGGGTTAAGATGCTGGACGAGTGCTGTTACTTGCAGAATATCGCATGGCTATCATCCAATCAGATTCAAGAACCAGACAGAACTGCTGTATAAATTGATATAATGGATGCATTGATTTGAGAGTTCTTTCTGTTTCCATTGCTAGTTTTTACATAAACAGACTTTGACCTCCTCCGTTTAGCAGTTCGATTTTTCACAGGTAGCCTACAGTCAAATCTAAAGCAACAAAAATGCAAGTAAACAATCACCCCAGTTTAATCCCTTTTGTGAACCATTCCTTGAAGACCCAGCATAAACAACATGGATGCATTGAACCCAGTCATTTGTAAGCTCCTATTTCCGACGCCATTTATTTTAGTTTTTTACATAAATAGGCTTTCATCTCCTCCAATTAACAATACGATTCATGACAGATGGCATAAGTATAAAAATCTTTTCTTAAATGTTGGAAAGTGTCCCTCTGCATGTTCCCAGGAGATAAATTTAGCTGAACTCACTGGAGTGGCCCTGTCAGATCATTAGAGCTCATTTTCGCGGCAGCTGTCGGCTGTTCTGTGTTCCTCTCAGAGACTCTGCGTAGGGGGGTACATGGTGTTATAGCGCTAACGTGTTAGGTTAGCGTCCAGCCCCGCATCCCACGGTTTAAACCCCCTGCTGCCTCGGCTGCAGGGTCGCGGGCTTGATTAGAGACGAGGCCGACCGGCTCCAGTCCTCCTACACACAACTGATAGAGAAGGACACGTACTGTATAAGACATCAGTAGAGCTCTGCTTGGTCAAACATGTCTTTAAATAACTCTCCGAACTAGTAAATGAGCAAGGAAAGGGAATGTGAGGAGAAATGGTGGATGTACTGCAAAACCAAAGCCTCAACACCTATTTGGAGGTCAATGGAGTGTAACTACGGGCAAGAAAAATGGGCCTAAATACACTTTTCAGATTTATTTTGGTTTATATGTTTCTAATGTGTATTTACATACATAATGTGTATGTAATTTTTATTATTTAAATAAAGTTTGAAAGTAAGTGGTTTTTAATTCTACAATAATGCATTAAATTAAAGGCATGTGTATAAATTTACTGAAGAGTTCCATTTAAATTTTATGCTGTTCTTTCAAATTTTGTTTCATCAAAAATCATAATTTATCTTTTTTTTTCTTTCATTTTGTTAGGCTTTTCCAGCTTTAATAATTCTAAATACAAATAGTTATTGAGCATCATATGAGCAAAATGTTATATATTTTTAAGGATCATTTGACATTGAAATCTGAAGTAAGGACACTGACAAGGTTAAATTGAACTTTAATAATATAGAACCAATCACCATCAATCTAGGGACTGTAGATAGCTGGTGAACTACTTTCATACACATACACAGACTGGGGTGACAATTCATCTTCCAGCAGGACAGTGACCCAAAGCACATCGCCAACATATAAATGGAGTGGCTTCACAACAACTCTGTAAATGTCTTGAGTGGCCCAGCCAGAGCCCAGACCTAATTCCTATTCAACGTCTCTGGAGACACCTGAAAATGGCTGTACACTGTCGCTTTCCATCCAACCTGATAGAGCTTGTGAGGTACTGCAAAGAGGAATGGGCAAAAATTCCCAAAGACTGGTCTATCAAGCTTGTGGCATCATACTCAAAAAGACTTGAGGCTGTAATTGCTGCCAAAGGTGCATCAACAAAGTATTGAGCAAAAGCTGTGAATACTGATGTACATTTTATGTACATTTTTCAGGTTTTTTATTTTTATTAAATTTGCAACAATTTCAAAAAAACTTTTTTTCACATTGTCATTATGGGGTATTGTGTGTAGAATGCTGAGGAAAAAAAATATTTAATCCATTCTGGAATAAGGCTTTACATACTAAAATATGGAAAAAATGAAGTGGATGCACTGTATAAATTAAATCAATAAAATATTACATCTTAATGCAACATTTAATTTTATTGTTACATAATATTATAGTTTTTACTACATTTTTGAAAGATATATAATATAATTATATAATTAGTTCTTGGTAAGCATAAACTTAAAAAAAATAATTTAAACCACTTCATATAAATTTTTTTAGTTATAAAAAAAACTAGTTCTACTTAATGTCATTCATGCTACTGCTAAGACATTTAAAAGGAACATTTGTTGAAAATATTTTATTATTTAATATTTATATCAATAAAAATTATAACTAAATGCAACATTTATAATTATATTATTAAATAATATTATCGTTTTTACTACATTTTTTTGAAGAAATAATGATTAGTTCTTGGTAAGCATAAAAGACTTAAAAATTCATTTGATCTAGTTCATATAAAAATCTTTTAGTCAACATAAAAATCAAAACTTAATTTCATTCATGCTACTGCTTAGACATTTTTTTCATAATCATAAACTTCCATCAGTGTAATAATTTGCACTGAAGCAACCTTTATACTTGTTCTCCATAATTGACCTTCATATCATATTATATTACATCATACTATGTTATAATCACATCGTCTTACATTATATTACAGATGTAAATGTGTTTCAGAGACATTTTATGAATGTAAAGGCCCTTCTCCTTTCCTTTTCTTTCTCTTCCTTCAACCCATCTATTATTCACTCCTTCCCATTAGCACACTTCCTGTTTTGTGACATTTTAATCAGCAATAAAAGTCTCTGTTGATTTAAAGAAGATTAACTGCTCTGCTGAAGTGTCAAAGGTTTCGACCGTCAAACATCCTACATTTTTTTTTTTGCAGACAGATGAGATTTTCTTGAATTTTCTGTGCTAAAATAACAAGCTGTGCTAGCTACTATCATATTATAAATTGGATGTTTTGAAAATATATTAGCGCTAATTACTAGAACTTCTATGTTAAGCTGCTTTGACACAATCTACATTGTTAAAGCGCTATAGAAATAAAGATGAATTGAATTGAATAGTTTCTATTGTATATGTCTCCACAGTGACCGGGCCACTAACAGAATCACAGATAGCATATGTAACAAGAGAAACCCTTCAGGTAAGCCATTTTCTTGGACTTTGTTTTGACAGCCAAAGCAATCCGCTGTGACCATGAAAGCTGCCTTTGAATTTTTAATGGTCGACATGTTGACAGATACTACATAGATCTTTGTTTTCTTAAAAAGGCATGCGTTTTCAAGATTAATGTGGATTTAAATGACTTTTTACTGTGTTTTTCTTGTGTCTTTTAGGGTTTATATTACCTGCACAACAAAGGAAAGATGCACAGAGACATAAAGGTACTTTTATTTATGATTGATTGATTCTTTATTTTGTGTGTTGGATTAATTTTATTGTATTCAAGTTGATTGATAAGCGCATTAACCCACATTCTGGTTTGTTTATGAGCCAATCAAAACACTAACTCTAATCAGGTAGAGTGATAGTATGGTTTTACCTTGCAAAAAAGGCGGTGTTTTGCGTTTTTATTTTCTCAGTAATTGCATGGATATTACATGAGCTTTAAGAATGTTCATTCATTCATTTTCTTTTCGGCTTTGTCCATTTTTTTTTATCTGGGGTCGCCACAGTGGAATGAACCGCCAACTTTTCCAGCACGTTTTATGCAGCGGATGCCCTTCTTGATGCAACCCATCTCTAAGAAACATCCATACACACTCATTCGCACTCGTACACTACAGACAATTTAGCCTACGAAATTCACCTGTACCGCATGTCTTTGGACTGTTGGGGAAACCGGAGCACCTGGAGGAAACCCACACGAACGCAGGGAGAACATGCAAACTCCACACAGTAATGCCAACTGACCCAGTCAAGGCTCGAACCAGTGACCTTCTTGCTGTGAGGCAAAACACATTTTTTAAGCTGTTGACAGTCGTATATGTGTCCCACACGGCTAAAAACACTATTAGGACACCTTTATTTCACAAAAAAGTGTAAATTGGTTGTTTTTGCGTTATTTCAAGCAAATTCGTACTTCCGGTTTGAAACGAATTTTTGAAGCTGCGTCACGGTCATGACATAATAGCGTTGTATTCCAGCGTGCAGACTGGGCGTCTGTGCCAGAGTGAGTCTTATTACGTCTTACAGTGTGATGCATTAATGCATGAGTAAGGCTTGGTTCAAACCAATCAGCGCGTTCTATTGTGCAACTTCATTAATATTCATTACTGTCAGAGTGTAGACGGCAAAGACGCCACGTGGTGTTGGCAAAACAAGCGTGAAGTGTTGCTTTTATAGTTTGCTGCAGTTAAGTTTCGTTTTCATTTTCTCTCTGTGAGAGCGCAGACTCACTTTTGTCGGGAGGGACATTAATGAATTCCCTGAATGAAAGAGCCAAACTGCAGTTAAAGTCCACCATTTAATAATTTGGCAAATAATTCGACTACAGATGTCCATGTAAACACAGTCACATTGTCTGCTGTGGGTGTGTGTTTTGACTACTCTCATACCAAGCCTCTTTTCTTCCTCCGACACTCCCCCCTAAACAGAGCTGGACACGCCCACTTTTCTGACTTTTTCCAAAGTAGAGGTGTGAAAACACACTGCTGAAACGAGGGGGTTTCATGGCCATTTAAAGAGCCCCTATTTTGCATTTAAAAGGGTCATATTTTGTTTTTCGGGGTCTCCAACATGCTGATATGTTGGTGGTGAATGTTGCAGCAGCAACATTCTGTGTGGATGTTTTTCAGCAGCAGGAACTGGAAGGCTAGTCAGGCCACAGCCGCAATTCTGGCCATCTCTCAGTGATAGTAATCATCACGTCATGATCAATCCCATAATCCCTCGCACTTTGCTGGTGCCTGAAGAGAAAGGCGTGTTCGCATTTTACTGGATCCGGTAGTTCATATATGATCGTGTTGATGTCAATTGATATTTATATATCAATTAAAAAATGTATATTTTTAAACAAGGTGTACTTTCAGATTTAAACCTCAGCTGGATATTTTCATTTACTTAGAGCTGTGTTACACACTGCATGGAAGGTCATTCTCAAAAACCCTTAATAGGGACTCTTTAAACATTATAATTTAATTTGAGCTTTTTCCATAAATAAGCATAAAGCTTTTTTTTAATGTGTTCAAAGTAGATTTTTTTTGTCAATAAGATTTAAATTTTAAAAGTTTTAACCACATTTACAATAAAAAACAGTAATATCACTCTGAAGTTTTATCTGTGAAATAAACAAAACGAGTTTCCCCCACAGACCAAAGACATGCGGTACAGGTGAATTGAACAAACTAAGTGGGTGTGTGCAAGAGTGTGTTGGTGTTTCCCAGTGTTGGGTTGCTACAGGAAGGGCATCCGCTGCGTGAAACGTGCTGGATAAGTTGACGGTTCATTCCACTGTAGTGATCCCAGATTAATAAAGGGACTTAGCTGAAAAGAAAACGAACGAACGAATGAATGAATGAATGAATAAACAAAACGTGTATACTCAATATATTTAAAATTTGCATATTTCATCTGTGTGCCGCTGTTAATGAAAACACCCTTAATAGAAAGCCCTCGGTGCATTTTAAGGGTGATTTGGTAAAGCCAAATGTGCAATCGCTAGTAAAGCCAAAGAAAATGTGTTACCTGGCCAGAGGGAGCTGTAATTAGTATGACTCAGATGGTGCTTTCACATCTCTGATCATAGATGAAAGCTTGTGTTGAAAGAGCGATTTCATATTAAAAAAAGATGGGATGCTGAAGTCTGTCAGCTTCATTTTCACATTTCATCTCACAGTAATGCCTTCAATAATGTCTTGTAATAGTTGTTTTAGTCTCATATTACAGTGTCTTGTAATTTGCGTGTTTTTTTTTTTTTTCCTGTTTGTATCAGGGTGCCAATATTTTATTGACGGACAATGGTTATGTCAAACTAGGTAAGAAAACCTTTTTTTTATTATTTGTATTCAGGTTAATGTTTAAACGTGTTTTTGAATTGTCCAGAATTCTTGTTGGAACCATGCTGTTTTATATTACAATCCTGCTAAAAAAAAAAAAAACTACTTAAATATAGGCCTAGGCAGGTTGGCCAGTTTTAGCTTGTTGACCAGCCTGGTTTTAGAGGGGTTTTGGCCATTCCAGGCTCGTTTCAAGCCATTTCCAGCCTGGTCTTTGCTAGTCAGGCTGGGAGATGACCAGCCTAGCCAGGCTGGGACCCCAGCCAAAACCAGCTATGTCCAGCTCAAACTAAGCTGGTAAAGCTGGTTTTAGCTGGTTTAAGCTGGTCATTTTCCTGCCTGAACACAACATGTTTGGATGTTCGGTAAGTTCCAAAAGCTGTTTTTTTATCCGTAGGTTTGGTCCTAAAATTGACATTTCTGAAAGTTATGTATTCATTTTTTTTTTAATCGGCAATAAACAAACCAAGAAAACCAAACTACAAGTGTGCATTTACTCATCTAGCCAGATGCCAGTGTGTTTTTCTGGAAGATGTGGTTAATGGTGTTGTGTTGTGACTGAGAGGAACACCTCATGTTGTCACATTTGATCTGCTGTGGCATTACGCAGCTCTCAGGTTTCATAATTCATAAGACAGAATTAGACACTGTGGTGTGAGCTGTACACATACAGGAGGTGTTTGTTGGATTGTAGTAAAGATAACGTTTTGTGTCTTTTCCTCTGCAGCTGATTTTGGCGTGTCTGCACAGATCACAGCCACACTAGCTAAACGAAAATCCTTCATTGGGACGCCATACTGGTGAGTGGAAGTTTTTTGTACTCAAGTTTGTTACATTGCATAGATTATATAATTACACATCAGGGGTTGAACGACTTTTTATTTTTGGAAATTGGCTTTTATGTTGTCAAAGTGGAGTCGACGTCGACTACTCGCTGGTGATGTCATCAATAAAACATAAGATACAAATGTTTTGCAACATGCCACAATTTGTGATTTATTTGCAGGAAATATATACTCATGCTGTTTGAAAGCTCATAACAGGTTGCAAAAACAGTGCAATACCAATGACTAAATTTAGTGCAAATCAAATGCCCTGTCAACACTTAAATTTCATTAATAATTCAAGTACATTTAGTACAACATTACTCAACATTCATTAGTATTTCTGGTCAAACCACATGATCTGTGCAGCACGACTAGTCGACATCAGACAAAAAGCATTACAGCAGAGCATTGAACTCGACCAGTCGACTAGTCTGTGAACCCCTATTACACATGTATGCAATATAATTATTAGAAAAAAGTCTTTAGTTTATTATTATTATTATTATTATTATTATTATTATTATCGTTTCTATAATCGTTATTATTATCGTTTCAACATTTAATAATATTAAACTTTTATCATGCTATAATTGATATGCCAGTGTTTTCTTCATTAATTCATTTTCTTTTCGGCTTGGTTCCTTTAATAATCTTGGGTCGCCACAGCGCAATGAATTGCCAACTTATCCAGCATATGTTTTACACAGCAGATGCCCTTCCAGTTTGCAAGCCATCACTAAGAATCACCCATACACACACATGCACTATGGACAATTTAGCTTACCCAATTCACCTATACCACGTCTTCGGACTTGTGGGTGAACCCGGAGCACCCAGAGGAAGCCAGTGTTTTAATGGAACAAAAATGTAAAAAGCATTATAATGTATAAGCATAACATTGTATTTATAATAATTAACAACATTATGATTAAAAATAATAATGACAATTTTTATAGTATCCTAGACAGCATCCTAAATGCATACATTGTTGAACTTTTTTACGTTTTTGTTAATTAAAAAAAAAGATCGGTTATAGCATGACAAAAGTCCAATATCATTAAATCCTTGCCAAAACAAAAACAACAACAACAACAACAACAACAACAACAACAACAACAACAACAACAAAAATCATCATCATCATTATTTTTGTTGATATTATTATTATTATTGTTATTATTATTGTTGTATTTTATTATTTTATTAATTATTTTGTTCTTGGCAATACTTTAATTGTATCAGTAATTTTTATTAAATAGCTTGTATGCCAGTAGTTTAACGTTTTCATTTGAATAAAACAAAATAAGAAATTATTCTGATAAATATTAAGAACATAGGAATAATTATTTAATCAACCATCAAAAAAGTAACAAAAAAGTGCTAATAAATTCTCAAAAAAATAAAATTTAATTATTATTATTATTATTATTATTATAAATGTAATGTATTTTATTCTCTTGCCAGAATGATTTTGCTCTGTGGTGTTTTAACAAACCTCACAATTAATCTGTTGCATTTGATAAGTTTTTCTTTCCTCTGCTCACCTGTCCATCAGTGTAGCGTTTATACAGTATGCTGGTGAATGTACTCTGAGAAATGATTTTTGCTGTAATCTGTGTGATCAGGATGGCTCCAGAAGTTGCTGCTGTGGAGAGGAAAGGAGGCTACAATCATCTGTGTGATATCTGGGCTGTCGGCATCACTGCCATTGAACTAGCTGAACTGCAACCACCCATGTTTGACCTGCACCCAATGAGGTGAGGCTTAGCAATAGTGTCCCAGTTTAACAAGCTGAAGTACATTTGAAGTAAAAATTGTTCGCCCTCCTGTGATTTTTATTTTATTTTATTTATTTGTTTTTTTTTTTCTTTTGCAAATATTTTCCAAATGATGTTTAACAGCAAGTATGTTTCAATTATATTTTTTCTTCTGGAGAAAGTCTTATTTGTTTTATTTCAGCTAGAATAAAAGCTGTTCTTAATTTTTTTAAACCATTTTAAGGTCAAAACTATTACCCCCCTTAAGCATTTTTTTTTCCAGAACAAACCATCATTATCCAGAGATTTGCTTAAATAACCTAACTTAACCTAATAAACCTAGTTAAGCCTTTAAATGTCACTTTAAGCTGTATAGAAGTGTCTTGAAAAATATCTAGTCAAATATTGTGTACTATCATTATGACAAAGATAAAATAAATCCGTTATTAGAAATGAATTATTAAAACTACATTATGTTTTGAAATGTGTGGAAGAAATCTTTTTTCTGTTATACAGAAATTGGGGGCAAATATACAGGTGGACTAACAATTCAGGAGGGCTAATAATTCTGACTTCAACTGTACATGTAAAAAAAAGTACAAAAGTAAATCTGTATAGAAAAGCATGTTTGCAAATGTTTGTTAACTTCAGTAACACTTCAACAGAACATTTACTTAAATAATGAAAACAAAAATTATTATATATATTAATGTTATAATTTATTTTTATTTTTTATTTATCAAAAAGTCAATATTGCAGCAGAAACCAAACTGTTGAGCATATACTTGTGGAATGCCCTATTTTTAATGTTATCAGACAACATTTTCTCTCTGGAGAGACTTTAAATGAAATATTTTTAAATGTGAATCCTTCTAAAATTTTAGAATTCTTAGAATTTTATCAAAAGTAAACCTTAAAAAACTGTTTTAGATTTTTGTCTTATAATTTATCATTATTATTTTTTGTATTTTACCTTGTGTATTATTTATTGCTGTTGATGACTTTATATTGTCAGAATATTTTTATAACTATAGAAAAGTGGTATTTATAAAATGTGGTTGATCTGTTTTTGCCATGACATAGCTAAAGAAGCTGAAACGCCAATTAACTTAAAATTATATCTATTGTTTATTTATTAATGAACCTACTTCATTATAAGAATTTGTTATTTTTGGCAATTTCTTGAATTTAATTTGTTGGTTTTGGTTAGATTTGTAGTTGTTTTAGAATTGATCATATTAATGTAATATATTTGTATTTATTATGCGAGCCAAATGCATAATATATTTGTATTTTATTACATATTTTTGCATATATTTTTATTTATTTTGATTCAATTCTATCATTGAACTGCAGATTTTATTGTATTGGGTAGGATTAGAGATGTAGAATAAGATCATACAGAATATGTGCTTTATAAGTACTAATAAGCAGCCAATATCTCAATAACCTAGCAACTAGGTAATAGTGAGAATTGGTTCCTGAAGTGTTACCAAATGTATTAATTTGGATTGATTTGGATGATTCTGTAGGGTGAATCATGCTTAAAATGTAATAAACAAATGACTTGCATAAATAAATGCAATAAAGCAAATATAAAAGTGAAATAAACAGTGTAAATAAATGCAAATATACAAATTACACTGAATGTCAACTCTGCATTGCAGATCTATGCTTATATGTGACTATTGCAGATGCACACATTGTGATATCGTTGCTGAAACGATATATCGTGCAGCCCTACAGTGAAGCTATATTACTGTTAAAGTGCTTTAAATTACCACATTTCTTTACTAAACCAAACATTTATAGCTTGTGACAACCCAATCTATTCTTGTCTCTTCAGGGCGCTGTTTTTGATGACGAAAAGCAACTTTCAACCCCCCAAATTAAAAGACAAAGTTAAATGGTAAGTGATAATTATGTTTTCAGGCAATTCTTATGTTACCTGACTGTGTAAAATCCTTGATACCAAGAGGGGTTTGAGTGAGTTTGAGTCTGTACTTTATGCGCCCTGTTCTTTAATTTCATTAATCAGCTATGAAATTTGGGCCAAGCACTCTCATTTGCCCTAAACACTGGCTTTTATGAATTTTGATAAGGTTGGACTTGACATTCTCTTATCTTGGCTGATTATGAGTCTGGTCAGGTTTTCTGCCGAATGGTTTCTTCTCCATTACCTTGCAGCTCTGTTAAATCAAATTAGCTTAATTACATTTAGAGCTAACAAACTGCACGCTCTCGCAGTCCAAATGCTCGTTACGTGAGAGATTTATGGAGACTTCTTTCTGTCTTCTGAAGGACCAATAATTTCCACAACTTTGTGAAGCTGGCGTTGACAAAAAATCCAAAGAAACGGCCTCCAGCGGATAAGTTACTACAGGTAGGACAAGTTTGTTTGTTTGTTTGTTGTTGTTTTTTCATGTTTCCAGTTGTAATCTTCTGTAATGTTTTAGATTTTAGACGAATATTTTATATTTTTTCATTCTTTACCTGTTACATTTATTTTTTAATAATATTTGTATATATTACATAAACATACATTTGGTTTTTTATAGTTATATATTTTATATAAACTATTTATTGTATATATACTAATTATTTTCTATATTATAAAAAAGATTTTCTAAAATTTGTATTTAATGTTTTTATTTCAGTAATTGTATATATATCATTGCTTTTTACACATAGACTTTACTTGGGTGGGCCACCCAGGTATGTTAATGGCCGCCCAAGTATATTGACATGATTCAATTCAATTCAATTCAGCTTTATTTGTATAGCGCTTTTACAATGTAGATTGTGTCAAAGCAGCTTCACATAAATGGTCATAGTAACTGGAACAGTGTGGTTCAGGTTTTAGTGTTTAAGTTCAGTTCAGTTCAGTTTAGTTCAGTTCAGTGTGATTTAATCATTACTGAGAGCTCAAACACTGAAGAGCAAATTCATAGATGCGTAGCTCTACCAATCCTGAACCATGCGAGGCAGTGGCGACAGCGGAGAGGGAAAAAAAAACTTCACCTGATGGGAGTGAAGAAAAAAAACCTTGAGAGAACCAGACTCAGTTGGGCACGACCATTTTAATTTCTCCGCTGGCCAAAAGTCTTGTGCAGAGCTTCATTCGCCGTGGTTGAGGCTGGAAGATGGCCTCAGGGAAGACTCGTCGTTATACATGACAGTATAATGACAGTTTTTTGTTGTCGTTTCATTTACGATTATTCTCATTCTTATTCACTTTTTTTGTTTGTTTAATTAAGAAGTGGACATTTTCGTTTCGTTTTGTGTGTGCTAGATCTGTCAACACAGGCAGTATCTCGTGCGCTTTAGACCCGCAGAGACACGTCTTGGGACTGAAAAACAAAAATAAAAACCTGTCCGAGGTTTCTAAAGCTCCTAAAATGTCCAGGACTTGGATTTTGCTTTTGCCTTATAAAGCTGTCGTTATGAGTTTTTGCAATACCTTTTTATTTAAGCCTACTTTCACTTTGCTTTGCAACTGACAGTGCACACACAGTCACAAGAGTAAGAGAAACATTAAATATTTCATTCTTTAATCTAAACGACTCAGAAAAACTTTACCATATACTGGGAGAGGACGAAATGACTGGTCTAAACTGGCTGCAAAATATATGTACATCATTAGTAATGGTTAATCAATGCATTTGCCTTATTAAATGTACACTTAAATGTTAATTCTTTTAATTAATTTACATTTAGAGATATTGTCTATTTTTATTCCCTTCTCTGTCATTTATTTCTCATTAGCTGTGTATTTTATCAATTTTATTATGTCAATATATTACATATTTTATACATATTTAAAATGCTTTGGTGTTCAAGTTTGCTTTAAACTTGAAAAAAAGATAGAACAGGTTTGACCTGTCAGTGGGTGCACACGGCTCCTGAATAGCATAAAAGACTGCATTTTGGATTTCTTTTTTATTTCGTCTTTTTTTTTCTTTAACCCATTGAAAATAAACCATGTATAAGTGTCATAGTAAATAAAATTAATATTAAAAACTTTGTTTTGTTTGTCGCATATAGTTAACTATTTATGTGATGTGGGTAAATGGTGTGTTACAAACTTAAGCTCTGTGTGTGTGTGTGTGTGTGTGTGTGTGTGTGTGTGTGTGTGTGTGTGTGTGTGCGTGTGCGTGTGCGTGTGCGTGTGCGTGCGTGCGTGCCGTGTATGTGTAAATATATTATATTATTATATTAATATTATTATTTTGTTATTATTAAGAAATTTTATATAGTTTTTTTCATATTGTTTATATTTCTGTTGTAACTAATCATTTTATTTAATATGATATTGTAATATTATTTTTTATATTTTTCTTTATTATTGTTTGATATCAAGTGCATACTTATATTTATGTAGTTGCACTTATTTTTCATTATTTTTAGAAATTAATTTTATGTTGAGCTATATTTTTTTTGATTATTTATTAGCTTCTATGTCAAATGCATGTTTATAAATTCTTTTTAATTTTATGTGCTTTTAAATGTATTTTAATGTTATGTTTTCTATTTGTTTGAATTCATGTCTACGTTAATTCTATTTTGAAATATGCTTTTTATAGTATTTTTGTTATATTGTTTGTTATAAATATACACATACATGTATATACATATACTAATTTATTTGATTTCATTTGATAAATATTGCATTCTAATATTAATTTTATTATAGTTTTTATATGAAGTGCATAATGTATTTGCAAGAAAAATGCAGTCACTTATTGTTCATTCTTTTTAAGAAATTAATTTTATGTTGTCTTATATTTAACATGTTTTTATTTTATTATCATCTGTGTCAAATGCGCATTTATTAATTCTGTTTACTTGTACGTGGTGTTGAATGTGTTTTTCGTGTAATATTTTATATATTGGTTTTGAATTCATTTCTACATTTATTTTATTATTGAATATTCTTTTTTATAAATAATTTCTAAATCCATTTTTTTAATCATTCATTAGCCAAATGTATTATATATTTTATAAGTCATCACTAAATCTATTTTTACCTAATTTTCTATTATTTAAATGACTCTGAACTTACAAAAGTCAAACAGCAAGTCTTTTATAGTATATTTACATTCCCTTTTCAACCATCTCTACCCAGCATCCTTTAGTCTCCCAACCACTGAGTCGTATTTTGGCGATTGAGCTGCTGGACAAAGCGAACAACCCAGACCACTCGTCCTACACAGACCTGGACGATGACGACCCAGAGCCAGAGGTACAGTAAATCTCCTTGTGTGATTCTCAACGTTATCACCGCTATCACTTCACGAATGACGGCTCCTCCGGGACCATCATTCACCATCAGAGCCCAGAAAACGCCAGCCCATTCAACAGATACCTTATCCTTTCGATCCCCCCCAAAAAAATTGACGAGCCCCTTGAGCTCATATATCCAATGTGTCAACACTTTTATTGTGGTGATATTTTTTGATGGCGTACTTTCTACATTATTAGCCTGTAAAGGTTGTTTTAATGGCAGCCGTTTGTTTTGATTGTCTCTAAATTTACTCTTCCGGTGGCGCTACAGGGCTGATAAAGATTTGTGAAATCATTTGGCCTGTTTCAAAAGTCCCAAAGTGAGAATGAAGACTTTTTTTAAGGCCATGATTTTTCTTTCATTTCATCTCTCTGTTCTAGTCAATTTCCCCAAGTAGACATTCGTTCTCACTTCCTCTTTTGTTGCTTTTTTTTCCCTCTCCTGTTGTTGAAGTTTAAATACAGAGGCTTGTTTTTACCAGTCTCTCCTCTCTCAAGACGAGTCCTTCGCTTTGCCGCTCGCAGAAAGGTATCAGGGATGTGCATTTGGTGTGTGAACATCAGGAAATGTTTTGATGGGTGGGATAGTTGAGCTAAAAATAAAACTCTGCTAGTTTGTTCGCCATCCAAGATGCAGGTGACTATTTTTTTTTATGAAACATTTTTTAGCTGAAACTGGACTGTGATAATTCATAATTTTAAGTCAAATGTTTGCCAGCACTTTGAGAGTCAATTAAACACTCAGTCGCTCACTATCCTTAGTGGCTTAGTTACTGATTCATCAGGGGTCACCACAGCAGAACGAACCGACAATTACTCTGGCATACAGTTAAAGTCAGAATTATTAGCCCTGTGGAATTATTGGCCCCAATTTCGGTTTTAAAAAATATTTCATCAACACATTTGTAAACATAATAGTTTTGCTAACTCATTTCTAATAACTGATTTATTTTATCTTTGCCATAATGACAGAACGTAATATTTTCCCAAATATTTTTCAAGATAGTATTCAGCTTAAAGTGCCATTTAAAGGTTCTGTAGACCTTTGCAATAAAAATTGGCCAATCAGAGATGTTTAAAGGAAAAAGGCTCATTTTACAATAACCCTAGAGTTAAAAGTGCACTTGAGCCAATTTTTAATCCATTTAGCCAATTTCTTGTTCTTCTGGCGTCAATTTGGCGTTAATTTTACCTCTAAAAGAGTTTTAACAATTTTCAAATTTAAATCTTAAGTATTCAGTAGTTACATCATGTAATAAAACACACAGAAAACAAAAGATTACTATTTTTTAGGCGTAACAGTCAAGAAACTCTGCTGCTGTAACATGGTTTACTGAAGATGTGGATTATTGAAAGACACTGCAGGTGAACAGAATTTAAAAAATGACAAACATTTTCTACATTTGTTTTTTTTTTATGTTTTAAATTTGTATTAACTTGCATACATTTTTCATACAAAAAATCTGAACATTGATTGAAGTGAGGTTCAAAAATTCTTGTTTTTTATATTAAAGTAAAATATTTTCCAGAGGAGATTTTACAGATCTCTTTTTTTTCACTCCATAATTCTAAATACTGTAGAAGGCTAGAAAAAAAGTCAAATCTTTTTTTTTTTTTTTTTTTTTAGCATAAACTGATGTACATAATCAGAAAATTAGAATGTAGAATCCCTCAGTAAAAAGCTTCATAAATCTTTCAGAAGAAATGTGGAGATGTATTTTTCAGCAGTAATTTTGAGAAGCTTTTTAAAATATATATTGTAATTGAAATCTATACATAAATATATAAAGTTTATTAAAATAAACACATAACAGTACATTTTTCATGCTTTATTTACAAAAAAAAGTGAAAAATCTTAAAAGAAAAATTCCTCAAAATTGATCCGTGTATGAAAAAATATCTGTGTCTCACCATAAAGTGTAGAATAATATTTAAACAATGTTCAGTTTCTTGCAAATAGTGATTTTACTTCCGAAATGCTGGTAAATTAAACCTGTTTTGATATTTTATTGAAGAAAAAAACGCCTCAAACATTTTGTATGGCCTATAAGTGTAAAAAATTAACAGAAATGTAAAATTTTTGGGTTAACTATCCCTTTAATAAGTTGTGTTGATGACTAGAGTGAATGCCTTACATGACACTAATTTTGATACTTTTTTGTCAAAACCTAGACAGATGCATGCTGGGTTTTCTTTTGTGCTGGAATAGTTTGCTTGTTTGTGTGTGTATGTGTGCAAGTTACACAGTTGAGCTCAAGGAAGTTTTGTCTGATTATTGATTATTATCTGATTATTTTGTCTCGATCGCTCAAGGGCTCGGTTTCGAGAACAGAAGTTCAGAAGCAGGATTTGGATATGTTGACAAGCGATTTTTAACGGGCCTTTCGAGTTTTGCTTCAAAGATTTATTCAAACATTATCAAAGAGCTTTCAGAGTAAACAGTGCTCAGCATATATAAGTACACCCCCACAAATCTTAATAAATAAATTTATAGTTTCTACAGGATGCTTTACAATATTATAGTTGTGCTTATACATTAGTTTGATCAGTGCTGTAGCCAAATCTGGAGGTAATCTAACAAAATAACTTATGATAATGGTTCAAAAATTAGTAGCCCAAATGTATTTGTTAGGGAAGAATATTAAACAAAATTTTCTAAAAATGGCAAAAATCAAGAGAAACAAAAAATGTATAGCATTTTGCTGAAATTTTGTAGTTTGTAATTTTTTCAAATATTTTGCATGAATTAAAATAATATTTTTTTCTATTTCTAAAGATTTTCTGTGACTTAAATATTATTTTAATAAATATATTTGTTATAATAAAATATATTTGTTATGATAATATATAATATAATATAATATAATAATAATAATATAATCTGTTTTGTTTAAATGCACCAATATATATTACCCATATTCACTGAGAAATGGGTAAAATTATTCATTTTCACAATGGGGTGTACTCGAATATGCTGAGCACTGTATATTATACTATATAGTTTTTTCATCATTGAACACAAATCATTTTACTACTAATGGGATCTTATGAAATCTGTTTAATTTAGTTCATTAGACACAATGAGAGGGGGTCACTTTGGTGATTTCCAAAAATCTAATACATTATTTTTATAAACTATTGAAATTACATTTGTTCAACCATAACCGAAAAAATAAAAATATTAATTATATATATATATATATATATATATATATATATATATATATATATATATATATATATATAGTTGAAGTCAGAATTATTAGTCCCCCTTTGAATTTTTTTTCTTTTTTAAAAATTTCCCAAATTATGTTCAGAGCAAGGAAATTTTCACAGTATGTCTGATAATATTTTTTCAGGAGAAAGTCTTATTTGTTTTATTTCGACTATAGAATAAAAGCAGTTTTTACTTGTTTAAAAAACATTTTAAGGTCAAAATTTAATTATTAGCCTCTTTAAGCTATATTCTTTTTCAAAAGTCTACAGAACAAACCATCGTTATACAATAACTTGCCTAATTACCCTAACCTGCCTAGTTAACCTAATTAACCTAGTTAAGTTTTTAAATGTCACTTTGAGCTGTAAAGAAGTGTCTTAAAATATCTAGTCAAATATTATTTACTGTTATCATGGCAAAGATAAAATAAGTCAGTTATTAGAAACAAGTTATTAAAACTATTATGTTTAAAAATGTGTTAAAAAAAAATCTTCTTTCCGTTAAACAGAAATAGGGGGAAAAAATAAACAGGGGCGAATAATTCTGACTTCTGCTGTATATTTGTTAGACTGTTGCACTTTTGTTTATATAGGTCAATTGGTGTGTGTGTGTGTGTGTGTGTGTGCGCCCTTTGTATGATTATAACCTCTTCCAAAAATAGTTAGGGTCGCAAGACACTGGCATTGTTTTTTGGGGGTTTGCGGGTTAAAAAGTTTGGGAACCCCTGGTCTAAAGCTCTTCAAAGTAATACAGTACTTGTACCCTTAAATATATTCAACTTAATTCAATTCATGTTTATTTCTATAGCGCTTTTTACAATGTAGATTGTGTCAAAGCAGCTTAACATAGAAGTTCTAGTGAATTCAAACTGTGTCAGTCCAGTTTTCAGAGTTGTTCAGTTTAGTTCAGTTCAGTGTGGTTTAATTTTCACTGCTAAAAGTCCAAACACTGAAGAGCAAATCGATGCGTAGGTCCACAGGTCATGAACCATGCAAGCCAGTGGCGACATTGGCGAGGAACAAACTTTACCAATTGACGAAAGTGAAGGAAAAATAACCTCAAGAGAACCTAGGTTTTGTTGGGCATGTCCATTTGTCCTCTGGCCAAATTAAATGTATTTTTCTAAAGTTAGTAATTAGGCTTTATTTTTGCAGACCATTTTTGGATTTATTTATAATTCTCATTCATTTAATTAATTTTGTCTTGTTTATAGGCACAATACCAAAAAGTATATAATACAAATAATGTTTTTTTTGTGCAATAAAGTCTTTTTTTTTTTTTTTTTTTTACATTTTCCATACTCGTTTTTAATTTGTTATATTTTAAAATGACACTTTTCTTTTGATTTTGTCATCAAATGTAACTTGACCATTCTTTTCTCCCTTATTAGTTTAATTTCATCTGTATAAATAAACATCACAGTCTGGACTTATGTACTGTACATATATATGTTTTGGAAAGCACAGATAGTGTCTTTCCTAGTCACTGTACCATGTGGCCTGAGTGCTAAGAGGAGTGCTAGAATATTCACAGGCGTCCGCTGAGGGAAGGGCGCAGTGTTTGGCATGCTGTCTATTTCTGTTTCAGAGTCCTGCTGCGTCCTTGTTGTCTGAAGGTCGTGCGTCTGTTCCTCTGTCTTATCTCTCCTCATCACATCTCCATCAGCCCTGCCGCTGGAGTGAAACTGGAGTGAAGGATGTCCTTTTAGTTTCCTGGATTCAAATGTCCTCGTGCTTTAATGTTCGCTGCGTATGCAGGTGTTTCTGTGTTTACAGTGCTGCCCTTCACTAATACTGGCGCCATTGGTGGATACGGGCAAAAGAAGGAAGTGGAAAAATGCCTTTATTGTTGTCCTTATTTAATCTTATGCTAAAGACTCTTGAGTTTGGATAAAAGCACAGGCTTTTTTCTTGAAAACCTTTAAGACAATTGGTCACACTTTACAATAAGGTATTTACTAAGATGAACTAAGTATGAACAATACTTGTACAGCATTTATTAACCATACTTCAACATTTAATAATGCATTATTAAAGTCTAAATTAATATTTGTTAGCATTAATTAATGCACCGTGTGTTAACGTACTAACAATGAACGACTGTATTTTCATTAACTAACATGAACAAATACTGTAATAAATGCATTGTGCATTGTTTGTTTATGTTAGTAAATGCATTAAATAACATGAACTAATACAACCTTATTGTAAAGTGTTACCAGAACATTCGTGATGATGTTGGTCATTTTAGGTCCATTGAAGCGTCGGGTTGAAAGTCTTCAGCAAACTATTTGTTGACAGTTACATGGTAGAGATCTGCACGAGACTAGTTTTTTAGTCCCGCTCCCGCAAGGTTTTATTCCGCACCCGACCTTTGTTCACCCGCTGCCCAACCTGCCCTGTTTTTTACTCATCCTGACCATTCCCGCTAAATTTAGATCTGGTTTCCAAAATCTCACATTTAAATTGTGTACCAAAAGAGAGAGATAACAGATAAAACTGTAGGTTGTGCAAGAGTTGTAGGCTAAATGTCAGTTTTGTTTGCCCCTCTGTGATGAGACAGGAGTGTTGCCTTAAACCTGAGGTTCCAGTCTTGTGACTGCTAAAGGGTAAAACTTTGAGGTGTTATCACATCGCGTAAACGGTAATTTTTTTTCCATTTGAGTCCATGACACATGAAAAAGACTCCCATACTTCAGACTTGCCTGATGTGGGTTTCCTAACAGTGACCATTTTCTAATGCAAGCTGAAGGAAAGCACATCTTAGCTTTGCTTTGCCATGTTGGTAAAGCCCGCTCTGAGGACTGTTATGCAGATAATGCTCGCACAGACTGAGACTCGTGAGCGTTTTACGAGACGTTTTTCAAACCCAATCGATTTTCACTGGCGTCAAGCAGAAGAGTATGCAAAATCACTCCTTGTGGTTAGATGGCGCTACACAACTTTAAGCATCCAACACCCGCTTGTAAAACAGAAGAAGAGGAAGTTCACATGCTTGTTGTTAAAGTAACTTGTGACTCGAACAAGCATAGATGTTTTAAGAAGCAGCTCCAGCTCTAGCGATGAAGAAATGATTATTGTTCACAGAGCGATAAGCAGCTCCACGTTTATATCGCCTCTGGGCATCTTCTTCAGTCTGCGCTCGCATTGACAGTTTTGCGCTTGAGCACCTCCAAGTGCTGTTTACTGTAACTTCAGCAGCTCTGTGCACGTGAACAAAAGTGCCAACCTGATTAGTGGAGAAGGTTTTGCGCGTTGGTGTGCACGAATACATTGGTATAGTCACAAAGCGTTAAACGTCGATGGCAAATGCGAGCAAAAACGTTTCGGTGTGCACGGGCCTTAAGAATGAGGAAATCACAGATATGCTGTTCCGAAATAATGTCGGGACTCAGGTGTGCTATATTGTTAGCCCGCCCGCTCAAATTACACCAGAATTACCAACCCCTACCGCGTTCAATTTGGTTATTTATTTCCGCACCACAAGAAATCTGGTCAGGTCTAGCGATACATGCAGACCTTACATGGTATAATCCTATTAGCTCAAAAGTGTCTCCGATAGGCGTTGCGCTTTTCGACTTGCAACAACTGAAAAATGCAGACCACTCAGCGCCTTGATACACTACAGGCACTTTAAAAGACTTGGAGCTACCATTCACTACAAATGCTCAGCTCACAAAAAAAGCGCTTTGGTGGACATCCCTTAAGCCTTTTGCCTTAAAATTAGTAAGTAAATCAACTGTGCATAGTTCTAAAAATTAAGTCAATTTAACCTTTTCAAGTTACAATGAGTGTACATTTTTTCAAATAAAGTAACTACTTGCTTTTTACACTCTATGTACATAATACAGTGCAAAAAATGCAGAATGTGCTGTATACAAAATGTCTGGAATTACAACCTTTTTGTGTGATGGATTTAAATGTTTGAAAATATGAAAATCACAGTTTAAATCATCATTCAGTAACGTTTCAAACCACAAACGAGAGATCTATTTTGTATAGGTTTGCATCAAATGGTGTTTTCATGATGCAATATCATTAACAACTTGTTAAAAACTTCGCTAAATAAAATAATCATGTCAAATATTTTCATAATTAGAAAACATTATTGTCTATTCATTATTTTCATTACAGTTCCACACATAGTATTTATTATTATTTTAAATTAAAATATATATATTTGACAGTTTCATGGTTTAACAAATTATTTTTTAAATAATTATCAAGTAAAATATAACAATTTCTTGTTTTTAATATATTTTAAGGCAAATGGGAAATCATGTGTCCTGTTTCTAATCATCCAACAAAATAGTAAGAAATTGTTGATTAAATCCTTGTTAGGAATTCAAAGGGGTGCCAATAATTAATAATAAGACATATATAGATTTTAATACTTTTTATTTATTTATTTATATGTGTGTTAATATTTTCTGCAAGGTTAAACAATATTTTTTTCCAGCATTTTTTGCTCCTATTTACCAGGCTGCCAACATAAGTAAAGGGCACTGTATACAGTATGTGTGTGTTGCTGATGGAAGATGTCCTCTGATTCAGGAACGACAGGAAACTTTTGTGAACAGTCATCAGGGACGTCCAGCAGGCTGTAATGATTTTCTCTTGAGCCGCGTCTGACAGATAGGGATTCATAGGGTCAGTGGCGCGACCTGGCCTGATATCAGAGAGTGATGCCTGGCATGTATTTTTAGCTCGTGGCGTCTCTGGTGATGGCACTAAGTGATCTCTGAAGTGTAAGCATTTAAGCCGCTCTTGTCTTGGATGTATTGATGTGATGCGATTCCGCTGACGGGGTGTTTTTAACTGATCTGCTAAGAATGGCGCACTAATATGCAAGCTATTGATTGCAAAGTGTGGCTGCAATATGGAGACTTTTATTTGGTTTGATGTTGTTTATGTATCAGGCCATTCAAATGGATAGGACTGCTTGATGGAGATCGAGCATTGGATATTTTTAGTCAGTAAATGTACTGTACTGTATATATGCAATGTAATGCAATAAATGCAAATCAGGCCTATACTTAAGTTCTATTATATATTATAGATTATAATATACACTCACCGGCCACTTTATTAGGTACACCATACTGGTACTGTGTTGGACTCTGTTTTGCCTTCAGAACTGCCTTAATCCTTGGTGGTATAGATTCAACAAGGTGCTGGAAATATTCCTCAGAGATTTAGGTCCATGTTGACATGATAGCATCATGTAGTTGCTGCAAATTTTTCAGCTGCACATTTATGATTCGATCGCCTGTTTCACCACATCACAGGTGCTCTATTGGATTGAGAACTGGTGACTGTGGAGGCCATTTGAGTACAGTGAACTTATAGTTATGTTCTAGAAACCAGACTAAGATGATTCACACTTTATAACATGGCGCGTTATCCTGCTGGAAGTAACCGTCAGAAGGGGCTCTGGCATTGACATGATGCTCAGTTGGTACTCGTGGGCCCAATGTGTGCCAAGAAAATGTCCTCCACACCATTACACCACCACCAGCCTAAACTGTTGATACAAGGCAGGATGGATACATTCTTTCACACCTGGCAATGTTTTTCCCAATTTATTATTGTCCAATTTTGGTGAGCCTGTGTGAATTGTTGCCTCAGTTTCCTGTTCTTAGCTGACAGAAGTGGCACCTAGTATGGTCTTCTGCTGCTGTAGCCCATCTGCCTCAAGGTTGTGCATTCAGAGATGCTCTTCTGCTTACCTCAGTTGTAACGAGTGGTTATTTGAGTTACTGTTGGCTGATTAGAAATTTGCAATAATGAGCAGTTGGACAGGTGAATAATATAAAGTGAGCGATGAGTGAATAACGAAAAATTATTGTTATATGTTTCTCATATATTAAGGATTATTAAACTGTATTTAACCACAAAATCACTTAAAAAGTGCTCAGGGGTAGCTAAAAAATAATGCTTCGGTGCTTTTTGGCTAAGAGATTCATCAGAATACACTGCAAAAGTCAGGCCAAGGCACTCGAAAGAATGACTTTTGCTGTGTATTTTAATACATTGTAGTATTTTCAAATCACATGCTTTATAATGATCTATTTAAAAATGTATGTAGTAATATAATATGGTAAAATGTAGTATATTAATATAGTAAATTAATGAAGTAATATGATTTAGCATGAACAGCTTTTTTTAGTGAGTGTCAAAAGAAAGTGAAAATGTGATGGTTCTTAAATTCAGGCTTAATAAAATAATAAAAACTATATACAGAATTATAAACAATATGTTATATAATATAAATTATCTACAAATTATCATTTTTTTAAAATTTGTACAAACATGACATTTTCATTGCTATATATTACTTTAACGTTAATAGTAATAATAATGGTATTGGTAATATTTTGTATGTGTTATTTAATTATCATTTTGATTTATTATTTTGATTATCTTTATTATACAAATGAACAGTTAACACTTAATAAGCTCTATACAAATTAACAATTGTATTCATTACGCTTATAAAAATTAAATCAAATTGAGATGGTCACTTTATTTAAACAAGCTTACTGGTATACTTAATGAAACGGGTTGACTTTTTAACAAAATAATTGTTTATAAAATGAATAGAGAACATTATTGAAATCTTCATATGAAACACATTTACTATAATAATAACAATTAATTTTTTATATAAATGTTTTTTGTGTATTTTTTCATTCTGTGCATGTGTGTGTGTTTTTTTTTCCTCTCTGCAGCCTCCAGTGTCTGTTCCACACCGGATTCGTTCAACGAGCCGCACAAGTCGGGAAGGGAAAACTCTGTCAGAGATTAACTGTGAGTGTTTGTTGCATTTTTCCCCTGGGCAAACCTGACAGACCTGTGCTGCAATCTCTTCACTGAGCAAATCAGTCTGCCCACATCTCCTTTAGAGGGATTCTCCATTATAACTACAACACATTAAAAACAGCTAAATTCACTTAAGGAAACCTGTGATTTTGACTGCACATCAACATGATGTGTCTACCTATGTTCAGACTACAAATATTAGTTATACTTTGCTCTTTCTGTCCAGAATGTTATTTTTAATTTAAGGATTTCTATGGACTCATTTTGAGAGTATGATATGAAAACTATCATACGTTTATTTAAGATTTAAATGCGAATTTAACAAAGCTGCAACATTTGTCTCATATAAACAAGAACATATTACTTTGTAATTTGTATTGCACACAAATCATCTAAACATTTAAATATGCAATACCAAATAATAATTATAATGCAATTAAAATATAACAGAAATTTAGAAAACTGAATATATAATATAATATAGTATAATAATATTAATAATAATAATAATAATATTATATATACCAAAAGATAATAAGACAATGTACAAGAGGCATCATTGTGGGGAGAAAAAATCCCAGCTTGCAGGGCTTGACTGTATCTATGTATGTATGAGTGTATAGTATATATATATATATATATATATATATATATATATATATATATATATATATATATATATATATATATATATATATATATGAATAAATCACCCTCATTTCTTAGCCATATGAAAAAAAAAAGTTGTACTGTTTCTTTAATAATGTTATTGTTTTCTTACAGTTGGTCAGGTGAAGTTTGACCCTCCTTTAACAACAGAGACAAAACCGCATCATGAACAGGTGAGTCATTCGATTTGGCCTTTCCTCTGATTGCAAACAACTGTGACACATTGACCAATAAGAGCACACTATATGATATTTCATTTTACATCATACTATCTCTGTTCCAAAACCTAGTGAACTGAGTATTGCAGTACTGTAGAAGAATGTGAGCATTAGACAGTTGTTAATAAGTCTATTTACACAAAGTATATATACACAATGCTATTTACTAAAAACTGAAAATGCATTTATATTTTTTTGAACTAAACTGTGCAGGGTTTCCCTCCAGGAATTGAGTTTGACATCCCTGGTCTATACACAAGTCCATGACTTTTTTTTTGCGTTTTAGTTGTTGGCTACCCTGTTATCCTGATACTGGATACTGTATTAAAAAAAAACTAACAAGTCACACTTGACTTTAAATTGCACTGGGTCAAAATTATTGACAGTGAATTCACATTTTATAATTTTATTCAGAAATAATGTAAGATATAGGCTACTATAAGCCCTAAAAAATACAATTCTTACAAGGTGATTAACATAGTTTAGCTCTCCTTGTTCCACAACAAATTCTAAAAATGTCACAGTATTTAGAACACAAACATAACACAATAGAACACAAATGTAATGTATAAGCAGATAAATAAACTGAAGTTGTAGTTCCATTCACATAAACTGCTTTTATTATTATAAACATGTAAACTTTTTTGATTTTGTTAAATGCAATATGCAAATATCTAAGCGTCTCCCATTCAGCACCACTTGAATAGACACACACACGTACTATATATTGATGTACATCTATATTAAAATACAGTATACACTCATCTCCCACTTAATTAGGTACACTACATTGACATGATAGCATCACACAGTTGCTGCAGATGTGTTGGCTGCACATCCATGATACGAATCTCCCGCTTCACCACATCCCAAAGGTGCTTAATTGGATTGAGAACTGGTGACTGGGGAGGCCATTTGATTACAGTGAACTCATTGTCATGTTCAAGAAACCAGTCTAAAATGATTCTTGCTTCATGACATGGTTCGTTATCCTGCTGAAAGTTGGGTACACTGTGGTCATGAAGGGATGGACCTGGTCAGCAAGGATTCTCAGGTAGGCTGTGGAGTTGACACGATGCTCAATTGGTACTAATGGGCCCAAAGCGTGGCAAGAAAATATCCCCCACACCATTACATTATCACCACCAGCCTAAACCGTTGATACAAGGCAGGATAGATTCCCCCATTGTGTTTTGCATTCAAAGATGCTCTTCTGCGTACCTCAATTGTAATGAGAGGTTATTTGAGTTACTGTTGCTTTTCTATCAGCTCAAACCAGTCTGGCCATTCTCCTCTGACATCAAAAAGGCATTTGCGGGCACTCAGACCAGCCCGTTTGGCACCAACAACCGTGCCACGTTCAAAGTGTCTACATCTCTAAATGCATTGAGTTGCTGCCATGTGATTGGCTGATTAGAGATTTGCGTTAACGTGTAGTTGGACAGGTGTACCTAATAAAGTGTATATTCTTCAGAATGAACAATTATGCAACTCACACGTATATGCAAGCTGTTAAATTCTTGTATCTTGGTAGATCAGATTGTTACCTTTCAATAAGTCAGTGGATAACTGCTTTGTTTTGTTGCCAATGGAAAAAGACATATATTTGTTAAGAGGGGTAATAATTTTGACCTTAATTATTTTATTGCTTTTATTTCAGCTGAATTAAAACAAATAAATGCTTCAGAAGAAGAAAAATATAATAGGAAATACTGTGACTTCCCTTGGGAAATATTTAAAGAAGAAAACAAATATCAGAGGGGGGCTGTATATTGTTCAGAATGAGCAATATATGCAATACCATGTTAATATGCTGCACCTTAGCAGATCTAAATGAAGATTTTTACCTTGCAATAACACATGATCCCTCCATAGGGAACGAACTAGGTTTTGGAACAGAGCAACTGTGAAAGCGGCCAGTCACGTCAAGCTTAATCTGAAATCACACTAGCCATAAGTGTGCAGTGAACACTTCCAAATGATTTCTCCTATAAGCTGACACTTCCTATTATGTAAGATTTTTCTCACATGTACCACAATCCCAGCTCATCTCTCGACAGCGGCTTGTTGTTGTTTTTTCTTCACACCATGTTTGACTGTTGTGCATTTTAGACGTCTGTCTCTCACTCTCGCCACGGCCATAATTGAAAGGTTAGATGCAGCTTTCCGTGGCATCTAATCAATAAGACTTCCTTTAAGCGCTGCAGAAAAATGCAGCGTTGACTGATCTTCGTCTCATTTGAGCACTCAGTGTTTCTCATGTTGTAACTGGATTTGTCATCCTTTCATAAACCAGATCATTTTTTAACAGCAGGACATCAAATTAATGTCTATTCCCATTGCAGCTTCATGCTCATGATGCCATCTTCTGAACCAGGGCTCACATCTGACGATGCCAACGCTTTGATTTACTCTTGGTTTTTCTGAATTCACATCACGTTGTTTTAATGGTTATAAAGAACAGTACATAATTGCTGCAACTGGTGGCTCACTAAGACTTTTAATAAGAAAAACATAGCATTCATGTGATGTTTTTATTCAACAATATTTATTGATTATACACTTTAATAAAATGTATTGGTTGTTAATTGCATTGATGAATTTTGATCTCTGCTCTGTCGGTTTTAGATGATGAAGTCATCAAAGTCAAATTCAATTGTGTGTTTTAACGAAGTGACTTTTGTTGACATTTTAGTAGTTCCCAATAGTATATTGTATAAGAAGTAATATGTAGAGGAATATGTTTGTAAAATAACAAAAAAAGTACTCTGTTAATTATCAGTTTATTATGCTATTATTAATAACATATTGGGCCCTGGGGCTATAGCAAAGGCAAGCACCCCATTTAATAATAGTAGCTTTTTTTGCTATTATTGTTATTATTATTATTATTATTAAGTTGCTTTATAATATTACAATCTAATTATCCACTTTTTGATTATTATGTGATTATCATAATTGTTTTCTATTTTACTAAAGTAGGCATACAAGCATACAAAATTTTAAACAGGCTGCAAAAATCAGCAAATAACACACATTTGCGATAGCCTACTTCCTAAATGAGTGCTTTACAATAACTACTTTAAACAGGGTTATACTTGGACTGTTCCCCAGTAGCGCCAAAATAAGGAACTGTCCTGGAAAATAAGGAACTTTCCCGGGGAAAAAACATCTGGCCCGTTTTGCCGGGTTCAGACTGCATGACTTTAGCCCCGATTTTGACTCAACAAGTTTTGAGAAATTGCCAACAAATGCCTGAAATCACAAGCAAATTGGTGCTTGTTCAATCACAAAGTGTAAACTGTCAAAAACGCGATCTGAGAGAATTGCAGATGGCTGTGAGATATTTGGCATGCTAAATATCTGGAGCTGTTGGCGATTCAAATCATGCCATGTGAAATGAGTTTTGCAGATCACCTTCAGCCAATGAGAGAGAAGCATCCAGTAATATGTGTATCTGCAGGCCAGCGGGAGGTTCTGGGAGAAGTAAAAAGTGCTCTTTTTCAGTTTATTTGGAACCAAGAAATGAAGGAAAAGCTAGTAGAAATTTGGTAGGAGCATCCGTGTTAGTTTGACGTGACGTGAGCAATGCCACCGGGTTGAAAACGAAAAAAGTTGAATGATAATTCCCTTCAAACCCTGGTGAGAAAATATGAACATTTTCTACCCCATTTTAAGGCTAATTGAGAAATCATTATGTAGTTAATAACAAAAGATATCCTACGTGTTTACGGTTGTGAGACATAGTTTGAACAAAGTTGTCGGCGATTCTTCTTCCTATTGCAAAGTCATGCAGTGTGAAACCCCCCTGCCGATCCATCTTGCAATGTAAACAAAGCAGCAACAAAACGCTAGCCCAAATAGTCTTGCAGTTTGAAAACATCTGACACACGACTACTTTGAAAATTATGCAGTCTGAACTCGGCATTACTGGGGACTAAAACAGGGCTTCTCGAAATACAGATGGGCTACAGCCACTCTGAGCCATAGTTTAGCTGTATTACTGTTTTTGAACAGCAGTGAGTCAAAAGGAATTCTTTAAATTATCGGCGCGTGAAAGCATAATGCAAAGAGGCGTTTCCTGTATCATGACGCAAATTATTTCATCAGCCTATCAAGGGCCCCCTCTTTTCTCAGGCCCTGGAACTTCAGCCCCACACTTTAAAACCCAAAAAGTTAAGGTAACTCAAACCATTTAAGGAAACCGATTGCAACAAACCATTTAAGTTAAAAAACTAATCCTAATGAATGCTTTGAACTTAATCCATTTAAGTAAATAAAGCAATTTAAGCACAGTAAAACCCAATAAATGAAGAGAACTGAGTACTGTAAAACCCAATAAGTTAAGACAACTCAAAACGTTTGAGGAAACTGATTGCTACAAACCATGAGTTTAAAAGTACTGTGAACTTACTCCATTTAAGATAAAATAATGAGGTATTTAATTAACTCATTACCTTCAACACTGAGTTCAAAATTCTTTTCAAATGGAAGTAGAATTACCTTTCAGTAAATTTTGAGTTGGCTACACTTCACTCTATAAAAGATGATTGGCTTATGAACATTTTAAGGTGTACAGTTATTTTGAGAAAAACACACAGAAAGTAGTTCCAGGCAGGTTTTGAGCACGTTACCATTCAATATCATTACGATTAATGATTTCTGTTATTTCAAATTAAGTTACTGCCAGAAAACACAGTTCTAAACACAAAATAAACAAGTTGAGGCTTTGGATGAGATTCATATGACATGATAGTGTTTTGAGGCTAGATTTGAGGACAAAAACTTGACAAGTAGTTTTGAATAAAAAAAAAAACAGGTTTAAGTTTTCACCTCTCTTGTAAATCGCTATGGATAAAAGCATCTGCTTGAAGGAGTAAATGTAAATGTTCACAACCAGCTGTGGGGATCCCACTGTCAATTACAGAGGAAATAATAAATTGTTTCTGGGGGAATGTATGTTGATTTTAGACAGAAAAGTCCTGAAATGTATTCAGCAGGCATTGTAGTGATATATTCAGGATCTAAAGATAACTAGAAGTAGGTAAACATAGCATCACCTCGTCAATTAGTTTGACGATAACAACAAGCAATTTCCCAAAGAACAATTAGTCACTCATTAAGAACTTTTCCAGCAATATACAGTACATGACACCTTTAATGGTCTCAGTGATCAGTGATCCTTTTCACAAATTTCAATCTACTAATTCCACTGTTTGTTTATTGTTGGAAAAAATGCAGATAGCAATGAGGGCACATTTAATTGGCTCTGTTATCGCCTGTCAATCTAACTGTCAATTGATTTTGGTCTATTTTGAGTGCATATGTATTTGATTTAAAGGCCAAAGCATTAGCTATACAGCAGAATTATGACTTATGAACTCTTTAGTATGGTGTCCCATCATTATTTCAGCAATTATGGACAGTCGCTTTAACCCACAGACCTGTATGAAGTCAGATGATCATGGACTTTGCAAACACATCTTCAAACCGCCATCTCAGCTACCAATAACTCATCAGTCATTGTTTCTGTGAAGCCACACAAGGCTCACATGTGTGTGTGTGTGATTAACTGAAGTTTCTTGGTCCTTCTACTAAACAGCTCGACACTGACGATTTTTTGGATTGTGCCGAAGAAATATACTACACTGCAAGATCTAATCTGGTATTTTTATTAGTATTCTACTCTGTTATCTTTGTCTTCGCGTCCTCTATCTGTTTTTTTTTCTTCCTCCATAGCATCTTGTCCGCTTCGCAGAGCTTATGTAGTGTACTCATCCTTCCATATGTGACTTCCATCTCTCATTCATTTCATCGCCATTCATTTTTGCCTTATCGTATTTAGATCATTGCAGTCTGTCTTTTCGGCTTGCCTGTTTATAACATCACTGTGATTGCATCTGTCTGTCACACCAAAATCTCTGCGCTGGATCATTTCTTTTTTGGTTTGTTTTCTTTTAGGCCTCTTGCTTGATTTAAAGACACATCCCTCAAAGTCGATACGCCGCTGCACTTTTCAGTAATCAAAAGCACTTTGAAATTGCAAAGCAAAGCATTTTATGTAGCCGAGTCCTCAGAGGGGCTTTATTTTTAGGGCTTGTCACAATCAGACGCATATTGAAAGCGAGCGAGAGGGAATGGAGAGAGAATTTAGGGTTAGACAGACAGAATGGATGTTGAGTAGGGTGAGTGAATGGGGGAAAAACAAGGAGAGAGAGAGAGAGAGGGAGGAAATAAAGAGTCTGAAGTGCCTGTTCGTGTCCCTCAGGGACGGTTAAACCAAAGTGCTCTGCAGGTCTGAGTGAGGGGGAAAGCATTGCCTCAGCAAGCAACACTTTGCGCAACAAACCCAGCACACGCAGCCTGTTTGAGGGATCAGCTAATTCTGCAGCCAACAAACAAACCTCACTGTTCACCGCTCCCTTTAACACCGATTTATTGTGCACACCTACTATGATGCTGGATTACGATTGGCTCTCTTTCTTGTCTCTGCTTTCTTAGCGAATTGTGATTCATCTCTATTTGCATCTCTTTAGCTGCCTTTGAACTCAGAACAGTGTTGCATTGTGTTTGTGGATCTCACACACAGCTGTCATGAGTGGCCTGATAATGACAGAGGGGCTCTCATGCTTCATTTCATATCCTTCAAAGTGTACAGCATTTCAGATAGCGTTTTTTGCTTTATTAGTGGTTAGATTGGATTCTGAAGAATTGAATTGAAGTATATCTGCTTAATGCACAACATGAAAGAATTGAATTAAATACACAAATGACATTACCCCTAATTCTTAATTAGTTCTCTTTTATGTAAACTAAAGTTTTTTTGTTTGTTAGTTTTTTCCTTTATTTGTATACCAAGTACAGATGTCATTATTTATACAAAGATTTAAATATATATAAACCCACTTCAAAAGCCCAAAATACACTCCCTAATATATTGACAGTAATAATAATAATAATAGTAAAAACACAGGGAAAAAATAGAAATAAATTGCAAAATGGTATAAAATATGACTGTATACAATAAATAAATAGACAACAATAATGAGTGTTACATTCAGGGACAGTGCTGTGCTATTTTACAATGGTAGGCTAGCATAGACTAAGCGTGAGGGTCTGGACAGAGAGAGAAAGGGGAAAGTACAGTTAGATACAAGATAAGTCACATCATTATTTCCCAGGAAGTACATTTATAGCAGAGAAATATAATTTATATATATATATATATATATATATATATATATATATATATATATATATATATATATATATATATATATATATATATATATATATATGAGCAATATCACACGAGTAGCAGTGCAATATGGCTGTATATCGGCACTGGTGGGAGGGGTGCACTGTGCCCCCCACCAGTGCCGATATAGAGCCATATCGCACTGTTACGAGTGTGATATTGCGTTTATACAACAACATCAAACATGGAGAGTCTCATAAACCCTTTTGTATGATTAACTACTTTCTTCCGCGTTGGATTCAAATCATAAGCTGACAGTTAAGCAGTTGAGCAAGCATCTTTTAAACTTTAGATCTGTAGTGTCTGCTTTTTGCTGGTTGTATGTGGGCAGAGTAATACACAAATGGCAAAGAGGCTGTACGTGTGCTGATATTACTCAAATATATTACGGCTATCGGCCAATCAGATTCAAGAACCAGACAGAACTGTTGTATAAATATACATATATATATATACAGTTGAAGTCAGAATTATTAGCCCCCCTGTTTATTTTCTTCCCCAATTTCTGTTTAACAGAGAGAAGATTCTTAGCACATTTCTAAACCTAATAGTTTTAATACCTCATCTCTAATAACCAATTTATTTTATCTTTGCCATGATGACAGAAAATAACTAGATATTTTTCAAGACACTTCTATACATCTTAAAGTGACATTTTAAGCCTTAACTAGGTTAATTAGGTTAACTAGGCAGGTTAGGGTAATTAGGCAAGGTATAGCAATTGTTTGTTCTGTAGACTATCTAAAAAAAACATACAACTTAAAGGGGCTAATAACTTTGACCTCAAAACGGGTTTTAAAAAATTATAAACTGCTTTTATTCTAGCCGAAATAAAACAAGCAAATGTCTGCAAACAAATATGAAATGTATCTCAATTATAATAACTATACGGTAATAAATTTTTAATAATATTTATTTTCAACATGCATGATCTTTGTTTTAGTTGTAAGATAGCAGTAGCAACAAAACAGTATAGATATAGTTTATATTTTTAACATTGTATATTTGTCAGTTTTAAAAATGTCTTTAAAAAATTTGTGACGACATTTATTATATTTATATATATATATATATATATATATATATATATATATATATATATATATATATATATATATATATATATATATTATATGGAACTCTATGAAAAAAAAATTAAAGTGCACTGAGACTGTGGATACTTATGCTTTTGGCCTTTTGTTGGATAGTTTTATTGCATTTTTATTGGATAGTGCTACTGCATAGTGACTGGGAATTAATATAGCATGATGCTCCATAGTTTGGCAAGTTTTTAAAAAGCCTCACACGGTCGCGTCTGTGCAAAGAAGCGTTTTTTCCTTTTTCATCTCTTTGCGTTTTTTGAGGCTTTCTTGAGTGACACCTCATCCATCTGGTCTGAAGCCCACGCACTGTGGAGCCGCAGCCAATCACACGCTGGAAACCGGTGTCTTTGACTGCGAATGAAGAAAGCAAAAGCAGGAGGATGAAAGAAGGCGGTGACAGAAGCAGTGAAGCGGAGAGTCTGGATCTTCTCTTAGCTTTTACTCTTCCAGCCTTTCTCTCTCCATCACTCTTACTGAAAAGCTTCCCATCAGCAGAAAGGCAGCCAGCGAATGAGGATATGACAGTTTGCTGTGTAAAGGAAATTTGGTTTGTTAATCTGTGGGGCAAAATCAATGAGGTTTTGCATGGCTGAAAGCTGTATTCCAGAGAGAGAGGATGGGGAAATGAGAGAGAGAGAAAGTGAGATGGAGGTGTGGAAGCACCAGAGAGACAGAAAAATTAAAGAATCAGTTTGAGAGAAAAAAGCTTCTCAGGTTTAATTATCAGTCACCTGAATATTATAGCAAATCCTCTGCCAGAACTTGAATGGATAAAGCTCTGCGGCCAACTTAACTTTATTTCTTCTTATTATTATTATTAAATGCATTTCTAGTTTTTAATTAATACATCAGTGAATTGTATATTGACATGTATATAATGTAAGCATATTGACATTTATTTCATTCACATTCTCATTTTTAAAGCTTATTATCAGTATAATTAAATTTTAGTTGCAGTAATTTGCAAAAGAACTTATTCTTATAAATGTAACATTGTACAATTTTTACTAAATTAGTAATATCAATAGTAATAATATTAATAATAATAAAGCAGCAATTTTCTTCATACTAACTGAAAAATTAAATGTAATAAAAAATGTCAAAAGCAGTTTTGTTTATGTACAGGGTGTCTGCAGGGGCCTTAAAAAGTATTAAAAGCTAATACGCCAATGTCCAGAAATTTAAGGCTCTTAAAAATTATAAAAACTCTTAAATGCTGTTTTGCAAGGATTTAAATTTTATATCATTATTTATTATGCAGTGTATGGTTGCATGCTAAAGTTTGCCTGAAGTAAATCTGCGAATATCAGAATGCTGTGTAATTTATGAAAACCAATCCTGCTAGATTTGACATCATACTGCTTTGTTTACTGTAGTAATCAAGGCAACTCAATTTTTTTCTGCAGCTCTTTAGGCACCAACCAGCTGAATTAGCTAGATTTCATAGATTTTTATTTAGTTTATGAATAATATTTTAGTTTTGGATTCTGTACTACATTTATATTTAGTAAATATACTGCAAGTTAAAATCTCGCTTGTGTTTCTGGTTGAAACCTAAAGTGGTAAGGTCTTAAAATGTTAGAAAGAGTCTTTAAAAAAAGTCTTAAAAGGTATTGAATTCCTGTATATAGCCTGTATGTAGATATTTGTATTTGTTTGTATAATTTGACATTTTATAAAGTCTTAATATTCTTATAATATTTTTTTGATCTATTTATTATTGCAGTAACAGTTTTTACAGATTGAACAATGTGAACTGTAGTCAAACTATAGGTTTAATAGCCTGCGGGTTACACCATCAACTTAATAATTATTATATATATTTATATATAATAAAAAATATTAATATAATATACTGTAAATATAAAGCCACGTTAACTAATTAATTTCTTTATGTATATATCCAGAAAACTAATCACCTTATTGATTATATGAAAACACAGAAAAAGTATTCGGTTGTTTTAGGTTATTCCAAATAGCAAAACAATAGTAAGAAAGAGTTGAAAATAAGGCCTGTTTATTAGGCACAAAGGCAGCCTGCTGCATGCTGAGGAGAAGCGCTGGTGAGCGCTACATCCCCCTGGCTGGGTGGGGATGTGATCTTTGGGCAAAACAGAGTACAGGTAAGCCCTGAGAACATATAACATTTTACGCAAGAGGTGCCATAGCAATAATTGCAAATAGAAATGATCTAAATTACAGCTAAGAAGGAAAAAGAGCTCCAAAACGAAAGATAATTAATGAAATCAGACCTGGCCAGTGGCACATTTCGTAAGTGTAAGTAAAAGGCTGTCTCATTGTTTTCTCTAGCTTGCAAATTATGTATTTAATTGTGTTTTGTTACTTGTAACCGCTTGTACTGTAATGTTATCGGGTTAACTCTTTATATTCTCATATCGCATCTAATGCCACGTTGAAAACGCGACGCGTGCTGCTTTGTTTACGGATTTAAATGCTTTTGAGAGCTAGTGGTCCACTGCCGTTTGTCGTTGCTATGGCCACCGTCAGATGTTCCTACACACGTGGATTAATACTGAAAGTGTGTCATAGTTAAGAATAGAGCAATGTGCTGGTGTTTGTCTACACTGCTTTTGGTGGTAAGGTGTCTGAATAACACTGTTGAGTAAGTTTTGCTCTGAAGTGTGTTTCGGGCGTCCGCTGCGATCGGATCCTATACCAATGTTGGGGACCCGGGGGCTTGACAAACAGCGCTGGCCATTTGTCTCGCGCTGGGCATTTGTCTCATGCTAAACACAGTCGACCAATCAAAACAGGCTGTCATCAGTCCAATCAGCGCAGATTAGCTTCACGCTAAGGAGGGGTTTGGGAACAAATGAATCACTGAACGATTCATATGGGAGTCGCTGGGAAAATTAGGTAAAAATAATTGCAGATTATAAGACCCTGAAAGGGTTTTTTGACCTTGCATGCATATCAGTATGTTGTTGGAGACCCTTATAACCGAAATATGACCCTTTTTCATGTATAATATGGGCTTAATTTTTTTTTCAATACACTTTAATTTGTAAAAACAAATATCAAGTTAACTTAATGCCTTCATGTTGTTCCATCAAAAATTGATTGTGTGGAGCTCAAGAATTTTTTACAGTGTATCCCTTTAAAAGAACATTTATTTTAAGTTCTAGCATTATTTTACAGTATAAGGACATTTGTTTTAGGTCATAGAGAAATATTAGGGTCATCGAAAAAGTCAAAAGCAGTAAATAAAGGTAACTCTGCACTGTTGATTAAACACACATTATAATTTTTTACCTGTAGTATATTCTTCAAGGAATGCAAAAACTATTTGCAAAACCAAAAATTACAAGGAACATTTATCCTTAGAGATGTAAGAGGGTTATTGGAAGAAATAGTTTTGTTGTATACTAGCTCTGTTGCTTGGAATGTATTACCTCCTAGGAGTATTAAAGTGATTCAAGATGATATTTTTTTTAGAAGAAAATATTTTATCAATAAAGGTGAGAATATGTTTGCAGTGCGTTGAGCTGATGTTGTTTGCAATCCATTTATGATTAAATTTTATTTCTTTTAATTTTACCTTTGTAAACTATAAAATCATGGGTCTCTTCACAGTTTTTGTCTCATTTTGTGAGCCAATTGACAACAGTTGTTCGCTCCCCTCTTTTTCCCCTGCTCTGCCGGCCATGGCCACTCCTCCCTCTGCTCACAGAGCTCCATGCCCATCATGAAGCATTTTTTTTTTTTTAATCTGAGAGACCAAAAGAGGGGGGTTTGATGGAACTTTAAATAAATACATGGACATGAGGGAATACAGATAGGGCAAGTCAGTGTGGTTATCTCTTCTTTTCCTATTTGATTCAGTAAATTGCTAAAATCTAAATTTTAAAATTAAACTATAAATAGGCCTGGTCCTCTTATAGTCCTGCTAACTCCAAGCTGAATTATCCTTGTTTACTTTTTCAGCTGGTCATCATGACGTGTTAAGATGATGTTAGCTCATTTTCTAGCTTCCATTCTGAGATTTAATTATTTACTGTAAACGCATTATCTCCACACACTGAGGGGAGTGTTGCAATTGTGGACATTGACAGCACTTTACAGACAGGCATTAGGTTGAAAACAAGTCCTGAAATGTTTCTCTCAACACACTTTTTGAATGTGTGAGGTACTGTATTTAATAGATACTGCCTCGGTTTGATGATTCCATTAATTCATGAGCACCAAGCTATTTCCAGTCATTGCCTGCTTGAATGATCATATTGGCGAGTGGGAGGAGAGATCGCACATGGTCCCATCCACCCACAATGCTCTAATTAAGAGTACAACATTGTGAGCCGTTTGAATTGATTTCTTTTCCAGCAGTCTTGTGCAACCAACATTTATAATTGTATTTCAGTACAAAAAGTCAGAACTTAAGATATTAATGGGACAGTTCAGCTAAATGTTAGAATGGGCTATTCATTTACTGATTTACTTTATTTTCATCTCCATTAGAAGATTAAAGGGATAGTTCTCTCAAAACTGAAAATTTACTTGTCATTCAGGCTCAACCCCAATTCTATTTTTGTACCCCTACCCCTTCCCTTTGGCCCTTGAAACAGAGTGTGATGGGGAAGGGCCTCAAAATTTACCCCTTAGAACTGGGACAGCACTACTACACCTGCACACGTCATCGTATGTCATTGCAATTTCTTGCTTCATATGAGATCGACGATTGGGACTGCTGTAGGTTTTCCAGTTGAGTTATTTTTTTTAGTATTTATCTTCAGGAAATCACTGAAGGCAACAATATTATGTTATCATAACGATATAATGCGGCAATAAGATCATAACTGTACTGTGCATTTACACCATGGTCATATTCATCTATATTAACACACAAAAACAACATTCTTGTTCTTATCTATCTAGAGAACTGGTACACCCCTACCCCTTCATGTGAACGTGTAAAACGAGCGGTGGGGGTAACGGGAAGGGCTAAGGGGTAGAATTGGGATTGGGCCTTCGTCTCCCACTTGTCACAAACCTGTTTTAGCTGAAAACATTTTGAAGAAAGCTGACCATTGACTTCCATAAGAATAGTTTTTTATCAACTATTAAAGTCAACAAAGATTAGGAGCAAACTGGAGTGAATAGTAGGTTTAATTTTTGGATGAACTATCCCTTTAAAGACTAATTTAGGTGAAATTGTGGCTCTTTGTGATCTCTAAATACTTTGAGAGTCAAAAAACATATACAGGGTAAATACATTTAAAACACGTGGCTCCTATTGTGTGTAGCGAAACAAGGAGCCTGTGTGAAAAAACTGAATATTGTTTGCAACACTATTACCTTTAAGGGCCCAATCATACACCCGGCGCAATAAGGTACAAGATGTGTATAGCGTGATTTGTTGCTATTTTCAGACCAGCGCAACCTTAATTTTTATGTTATCCACCCACCAGGTTGTTTAAATAACAAATCCATTTGCAGCACTTTGTGGACTCATGACTGTGCCATTGAGCAACTAAAAGCTGGTCTCAAATCCAGTTTTCAGTTTATTTATGACAATATGCATTTGTATAATGTTTTTGTTATTCGCTGCATTATTTATTATATGCATATTTATATTTCTTTTTATTAAAAACAAGTTTAGATTTGTCCACCTATTGGGTTCTGGAGACGTTCTGCATGCATGATCATAAGGGACATAAGGACACGTGTTTGGATGTAACTCAGTTTTTTAACCACACTTCTTTATTATTGTTCATTTATTGGATTGCTGGAAATTAGAATTGAATTTAGAAATAATTTTAAAACAAATCTTTGCGCTTAACAAATGAAATTAAATATGTAGGCTAATGGATGTTTTCAGTGAAGTACATACAGCACCGTTTCCTTAAATACGAAAGTAAAGGAGTAAAAGTAAAGTAAAAAGGCTGAACTGAGGAGGCCATGGCACAACACAACTGACTCTTAAAGGGAATGGGAGATGAGACTCTGATTGTTTTACTGCATGTTATGCTCAAAACACACCCATAACTCTTTGAGAGATGAAGCACATCCCCTGTTAGACCATGTGCTGGGGCGCAGAGCATATTTTTCTGTTTTTAAAATAGCAAATATGGATTCGGACACACCCTTTATGCTTTTTGTGCCATGCACTTTGCGCCTAGATCATTAAAATAGAGCCCTAAAAGTCCAAGACATTTTTTCGACACATGGCTTTCTTTCTTTCTTTTTTTTTTTTTGTTGCCACCAAAAGATAATTTGCAATGTGTCTCTGTGTGTGTGTGTGTGTGTGTGTGTGTGTGTGTGTGTGTGTGTGTGTGTGTGTGTGTGTTTTATACTTTTGCTTTGTTAATGCCATTTCTGTGTTAAACCCCACTGACTTTCACTAAACAACTTAATCATTCCTAATAATATATATTTTATGATTTAAGATCACACAAATGTAAACATCTAATAACAACTTACAAGCTTAAGAAAGAAATCACAGATAATTGTGTCAAGATGTGTGTTTGCTTGCTGATGTAGATCTAATATAATGTTCATGTCATCATCTCTTTCATCATTTTCCCTCACTAATAAACCATGAAAGTGTACAACTGTAATGTTGCCGCATGTGTGGATTAATAGTAAGCACTAATTTCATAATGCCCTAGAGTTCATATCTGATGTGCCAACACCATGTCATGCAGGACTTTCCATTCATTTTTATGTATCTTTTGACATGTGCATGAATGCAGCCAAGTCCCTGTCTAAACATCTTTATTTTGCATATTTCTTTTATTATTGAAGATTAAGTTATGGTCTTTGTGACTTCTGTTCTCTTTATTTTAGGATTTGCAGATGGATTATGAACAGGGATCCCCTAAAGGCTCCATCTTGGGAGGAAATAAGTAAGTTTTGTTAAATAAAAACAAAGCTTTGCCATTGCATCCAAAAAACAGGATTTGGAAAAATTAAGAATTGTTCGAAATGTAGATCAAAAACAATTATGGCAAGACAAACTTTAAAGCTGGCTTAAGAAAGCCTGGTAAAACTTTTAGCTTTTAATAATGAATATAAGTTTAATAAATCATCTCATCTCATACAAGGATGTTTTGCCAAATATGTGCCAAGGTTTAGCATGGTTTTTAATTATAATTTAATGTGTTTTTGTTACATTGTCATTTAAGAATCTGCTGTCATGTTTTAGCATATGACTAGCATGTTTGTAGCTCATTGTTAGCATGATCTACCATGTCAGTACTATGTTCTAGCTAGCCTTTAACATAATTTAGCATGTTGTTACCATAGTTTACGGTCTGATGAATTAATAGACAACACAATCTATTACTTGTGGTAACACATTGTCAGCAGGTTTGAGCAAGTTGCTTACATGTGTCATTTAGCAAGCATTGTTAACAATTTAGCATTTTGTTGTCAAGACAGACAGACAGACAGACAGACAGACAGACAGACAGACAGACAGACAGACAGACAGACAGACAGACAGACAGACAGACAGACAGACAGACAGACAGACAGACAGATAGATAGATAGATAGATAGATAGATAGATAGATACCAGTTATTACCATGTTTTAGCTTCTTGTTAGCATGTTTTGTACCCTGTTTTAGCATGTCACTCGTATATATATTTCTACAGTACATAAAGCACAAAGAGTCTGAAAATATGGTTTTAACACTACATCGTGTTTTCAGCTTAAATTCATATTTCCTGTCATTTTGTAGCATATGACTAGCATGTTTGTAGCTCATCATTAGCATGATCTACCATCTTGGTGCCATGTTCTAGCTAGTCTTTAACATAATTTAGCATGTTGTTATCATAGTTTACGGTCTGATGAATTAATAGACAACACAATTACTTGTGGTAACATTGTCTGCAGGTTTTAGCATGTTGCTTACCAGCAAGCAGCAAGCATTGTTAACAATTTAGCATTTTGTTGTCATGACAGACAGACAGACAGACAGACAGACAGACAGACAGATAGATAGATAGATAGACAGACAAATAGATAGATAGATAGATAGATAGATAGATAGATAGATAGATAGATAGATAGATAGATAGATAGATAGATAGATAGATAGATAGATAGATAGATAGATAGATAGATAGATAGATAGATAGATAGATAGATAGGTTTTTACCAGTTGTTACCATGTTTTAGCTTCTTGTTAGCATGTTTTGTCACATTTGTACCCTGTTTTAGCATGTCACTCGCATATATATTTCTACAGTACATTAATAAAGCACAAAGAGTCTGAAAATATTGTTTTAACACTACATTATTGTTTTCAGCTTAAATTCAAATATCCTGTCATGTTGTAGCATATGACTAGCATGTGTGTAGCTCAATGTTAGCATGATCTACCATGTTAGTGCCATGTTCTAGCTAGTCTTTAACATAATTTAGCATGTTGCTGTCATAGTTTATGGTCTGAAAACAGTTTAAAATGGATCAACTAACAGACATCACAATCTATTAGTTGTTAACACATTGTCAGCAGGTTTTAGCAATTTGTTAACATGTGTCAGATACATCATTGTGTTTCCAGCTTACATTAAGTTAAATTGTATGTCAAACAGTTTTGTTAATGTTTGGCGTTCCCTGTTTTACAAGAGAGTTCATTTAAAGTTCAGAGAGACGCTTCAGATTCTCGTATATTCATTTAGCTGAAATCTGACATTCCTGTCTCACCTCTGCGACACTTTCTGTTTCAGGTAGCTTGCGAATTATCTACATGACTGTCGTTTCTCTCTAATACGCACACAACCTTGCGCCTTGTTGACAGTGTTTGCCATATAGTGAACAGAAGGTCGAGTACACCAGATGGAGTGCCAGTGAAACCGCTCGCTCTGTGTTTGTGTGAGCGCCTGCGCATGTGCTCAGAGGTGTTGCTCTCCCGCTCATCAACAGATGGGTCCAGAGCTCTATGAGAGACACCCGTTCAGCATTTATGAGCTCTCATACATGCTTGTACAATCAGACCCATGCATGGCTGCACCAATCAGCCTGTTAGCAGCCTGTTTGATTCATTATTGAAAGTGTAACTGGAACATTGAAGTAGTATTATCTGCATAAATGGATATTAAAGGGCACCTATCGTAAAAAATCTACTTTTCAAGCTGTTTGGACAGACATGTGTGTAAGTATAGTGTATAGACCAATATATTGGGTTGATATAAACACACCCAGTGCTTTTTTTTTTTTTTTTTTTTTTTTCAATTTAACAACATAAAAACGATGGACCAATTGGAGTGATTTTCAGAGCGACAGCAACTTGACGTAGGAGTGCGGTCCCCCCGCCCACCAATATTGATTGACAGGTGCACGTCACCTAATCCTCAGTTTGTCGTTTCACGTCCGCTATTTTCAGCGCCAGTCAAAGCGAAATCACTAAAGGAACATCCTTGCTCTGTTTTTAGATGCAAGGCTCATTGGGCTCAACACAAGATCAATATTCTCCACATTATCGCTCTAATCGAAATTATTGGTTGTATCTTTAGGTAGGTTTGCAAACGTGTACTTTTTATTGCTTTAAACTTCAGCCGTTTGCATTTCTCACTTTCACAGAAGCTCTCTGTGATCTTAACTAGGTGCAGCTGGAAAAGTGCAAGCACGTTACCTCATGTGCGTGTCTCTCCATTGGAAATAAAATAACAAACTTGCCTGCAAGTCGCACACTAGAAACTCCGCTCATGCATTTTGGAATTCTGGTTGGGTGTTTCTTTCGTGGTGCACGCGGGGGCGCTTCAAGTCTTGGGGCACCGTTGTGTGTGCCCTGATGGAAACCTGTGTTTAGAGTTCTAAAATGCATGGCGCGACGATTCGGGACACTTCATGTTTCTGCCGCGCCACAGAGAGTGTCTGGTATGCCGTGTCGCGGCGCATCCGGTGCCTCAGTCAAAGTTAATTCAGTGTGCGTGGTTATTAGTCTCGGTGTACAAGCTCAGCACTTGAAACTAGCACACAGTTGGCTGTTAAACTATACAAAGACACAAATGATTTTGTACTCTCTGGTTGGTCTGTGTCCAAATCGTACATGTACGGCTGAATGCTGATCCTCTCACTCCCGCTCCTTCTCTCAGTCTGCCTGTCTGTTGCAAACAGAGAGCGGGTGAGCTCTTGGTTCCGCCCCCTTGTTACGTTAGGCGGGAAGCTGAAACAAATTTTCATGTGAAGCAACACTCCCCTAAAACAGCGAGCTGTGTACATGACTCCAACATGACACTTTGTAACACATTATAATTAAAAAATCTGAACTGTGTTTTAAACTGAACCTAAACTGGCACACTCAGAGGAACCTTAATACTAAAGAACAATGTACAATGAATACAGACATGTAATTTCGCACTGGTTGCCAGGTGCACTGTACTTTATATAACAATAAATATCAACAAGCGTTAATTTAGTTCTTTTAGCAAGTTGCTTGAAGTTATTAGCACCTTCTACAAAGTTGCTGAAGGATCTAAATAAAGATTGTGATCTTGATTCAAACACCCACACAATCTTATTCCTAAATTAACAGGATTAGCATGTTAACTAGAATCCAACAATATGGCAATTTTTCAGATATGCAGGGTTTGTACAGGAAGTAAAAAAAAATAGTTGAATCTTTGAAAACTTTAATCTAGTTTTTCAAGGTTTGAAAAGTGCTTAAATGTTGGATAAAGTGCTTGAAACAGCTTTAAAAGGTAATTGTGTGGCATTCGTAATAATTTATCTTGCTATTTAAACAAATTGAAAATAATCATTTTGATTTAGCATAAATGAAATCTCTGGGCTCATGCCTGTAGTGTGATCTCTCTGTCCTTTTTATCTGCAATTTCTGGAATTAAAATTAATATAAATTTAACATGACAAATTATGTATTTTGGATGCAAGTAAATGACATTTAAGAGAGTAAATTACAGTCTTTCAAGGTTGGCCAAACATGCGATCAAATAATTTTCTCAGAATACTATGCTATACTTTAGAATACAATAATGATAAGCATCTGATATAATGTAATGAATATGTTTATTTAGGTAAATATGTATAATGCTGGAAACATTTAAAATGCAGCTGAAAAAGTGTTTTAATTTGACTTGATTTTAGTTATCAGTTGTTATTACCGATAGTTAGCCGATAAGTAATGTTAATTGGAATCCAATTACTATTTTATATATATATATATATATATATATATTTATATATTTATATATATATATATATATATATATATATATATATATATATATATATATATATATATATGTGTGTGTGTGTGTGTATCTATCTATCTATCTATCTATCTATATATATATATGTGTGTGTGTGTATATATGTATGTATGTATATATGTGTGTGTGTGTGTGTGTGTGTGTGTGTGTGTGTGTGTGTATGTATATATATATATATATATATATATATATATATATATATATATATTTATATATATACACATATATATAAAGGAGAAAAATAAAGAGAAGCAAAAAAATTGAAAGAATGTAGTTTTTAAAATTTTATTTAGTAGGTTATAATTTATTTTTGCAATATTTTGCTTGTATTTAATTGTATTATCTTTCTATTTCTAAATATGTTTGGTGACTAAAATATAATTTTAATAAATATATCTGTTTAATAAATCTGTTTTGTTTAAATGCATCAAAATACATGACCTATATTCACTGAGAAATTGAGAGAATATTCATTTTCATTTTGATGCTGAGATCATCAATTGAGTGATGCAATTAATCAAATAATCGCTCTCTCTCTTTCTCTCTCTCTCTCGATTGATTGATTGATTGATTTTTGTTTTGAAAAAAGTTCCCGATATATGGGAGTGCTAAGATGAAAGTAAATCGAAAGTGACATCTTTTTGTAGCTTCTGATGTGACTGGTTGAGTGCACATCTTAAACATTATTTTCAAAAGTTTTATTATACACTTTATTTTTAAGAAAACTCAAGTGGGGAAGAACTTGGTGTACCGTGAATTTAGTGAATGACTAATAACTAAAAAACAAGGAGAACTATGTAACTATGTAGCCTATGCAGCCTTGGCTTTGTGGTGGAGAAATCAATCATGTCTCTCTCTCTCTCTTTCTCTTTCTCTCTCTCTCTCTCTTATATTTGTAATTTTAAATCAGGAATTGTTTAGTTCAACTAACTTTGGCTTTTGTAAGGGTTATAGTTTTTAAGTGAATGTTTGGTTATTATATTAATGTAAGCCTGTGAAATAGTTTTAATGGTTCCATGAAAGTTGTTTAGATGTTAGCATTAGTATTGTTAGTTTTCAGGATACCTATAAGCTAGTGTGCTTCAAAACAATGATAAAATTGTGTTTAGAAGTTATAAAACGTTTAGAAACATGTAAATCTTGTAGTTTGACACTTCCGGCTAAATGGATCAACAGTTTTACTCGCATCACCTCATACTTCTCGCACTTTACGAGACGTAATCGAAGTACTAATGCGATCATAATAGTGCATACTGATCTTCAATTGGATCTTCTGTTTTATATCTTTGGGACAGAGTGAAAACTAAAACAGGACTAAAAATGTGTGTTTTCTCTGGTGCAGCATTTCAAGGCACTGAAAAAAATCTAAAAGCTGCCTTGCTGGTGTTTTCTGTGAAAATGCAAAGCTAGTATTTATCTACTGCCGTACAAAAAAACTCTTTTAGTCCAGTGCTCTTCAATAATTTAAGTGCAGTGTAGATAAACAACTTTTGAACAGTGGTCCTAGACAGTCAGACGCAGACGTTCTCTTAAACTGTAACAGCTAAACATTGGACTCTTTCCCAGTGTCATGAGAGACAAATTAGCAATAAATGCTTGTTTATTTAGGCTCAAATCAATGAAGGCTAATGGATCCCTTGATGTGTTATAAAACTGTTTGTCATGTGTTTTCAAACCCAATGAGTCACCTGTTACCAGCTTTGATTTTCCTGCACCTTTTTCTTCACAGGAGCCTCTTGAAATCTGTTGAAGAAGAGCTGCAGCAGAGGTATAATGCCTGTGCTTTGTTTGTGTCCTTCACTCCTGTGCTCTGTCTTTTCTTTGCTTTCCTCCCTCTCTCTCTCTATCTCTCTGTATCTTTCCATCTTTTTGCTGCTCTGTCAAACTCTACCCATGCTCGCTCTCTCTCTCTCTCTCTCTCTCTCTCCCTCTCTCTCTGCATAGCTGGTTTTTCATCTGATCAATATTTGATGTGACCTAACCTTGCCCTTTTGTGCTTGTCCGAGTGGAACCAAAGGCTGATTTGCTTGGCAATGCTGTGTTGGAGATCTGTGTTATTTTTGCCACAGTATTAGTTTTCCATTCCTCGGGGGGGGAGGGAATTAACCGGTTAGTCCCTCGAAAATTAAATTTACTCCAGATGTATGGCTAGATTTGGGTTTCGGAATTGTCCTGGTTTTAATTTGTCACGCTTTCGTTTAAACAGCCATCCTTAAAAAAAAGTCATAGAATCAGCAGACCAAAGATGTATTTATTACATGTATTTATTATTTATTACATTTTAGGTGTAACTGTACACACAAAGGATGTTTGATCTGCTTTCAGCACAGCAGAGAGGAATTGAAACATTGTTTGATGAGGATGCGTTGATATAGAAAGTCTGGCTGATACCGATAAGCTTTTACATTTGGAAGCCGATATATAGATGAAGACAAAATGATTAGCTCTATAATAATGTCTAAATACGCAAACCAGAGAACAGGTCATACACACAGAAAGACACCTCAGAGACAGGAGACGAAGGATCTGCCCTCAGTCTAGTGCGAGTCGTCACTTGAGCACTTAAACGACCCCCATCCTCTTCTCATTGGTCCACTCATGATAACTCTGCGAGCCAATCGGGATACCTAGGTTTTAGAAGGACAGTAGTTAAGCCTTAAATTGCATTTTAAGCTGAATACTTCTATCTTACAAAATAACTAGTAAAATAATATGTGCTGTCATCATGACAAAGACAAAAGATATTAGTTATTAGAAATTAATTATTTAAACTTGTTGAAATTTTTTATCTCCATTAAAAAGCGACTGGGAAATATTTTTTAAAAATTATAAAAATTCCGAGGGCTAATAATTTTGTCTTCAATTGTATGAGCAGATGAATGTAAATCTTGATTTAATTTAAACAAACAGAATTAAACAACTGATTTTATTTTAAAAACTAGAAAAAAAAAGAGTGGAGTGTTCAAACTTGATCCTGGAGGGCCTGTGTCCTGCAGATTTTAGCTCCAACTTGCCTCAACACACCTGCAGGGATTTATCTAGAAAGCGTGTTCACCTTATTCTATGCATACATGGGTAAGGGTTAGGGTTAGGGTTAGGGTTAGATTTAGGGTGTAGGGTTACATGTTGCTTGATATAGCAAGCTAATATTTTCTTATTACTCAATAGTCAACATGTCAATAGTAACAGCTTGATTAGCTAGCCTAGGTGTGGAACTAAACTTTGCACGGCCCTCCAGGACCAAGTTTGGGCACCCCTAATCTAGATCTTTTTTTAACAAAATCAACTTTACAACTTTTCTAACATTGTTCCTCCATAAAGCCATTTCAAAAGTGTGCATGTGCTGAGTGCAGTGTGTCACGTAATATCAATACTATTTAATATATTAAAGACATTGATACATTAGGCTGATAATGTTCTTATCTGGCTTATAACATTTAAGAGTATTTATTGGTTGATCCAATTTGGCAGAAAATATATTGTGTATCTATAATTTAAAAATATTGTACATAAGCCCTTTTATTGACTTTTTTTCTAAGTGAAACGGCAAAGTTTTAAATATTATCGTGTACTGTTACACCCGTAATATTTATCGTTTTTTTTTTTGTGCTATAACGCTTTATTTTGACACACAAGGACTCGTTCACACCAGATATTTGTGTGTATTCAAAAGCAGAAAACCAATGTGACTGACTTTGCGTGATGTACTTATCTGGCTAATAGCGATAGCATTAAAGAGTATTCATTGGCTGATTCCAATTTTTCAGCAAATATATTGTCTGTCTATAATTTTAAAATATTGTACATATGCACTTTTTTTTTCTTTTTTCTAAGTAAAACGGCAAAGTTTTAATTATTAACATGTACTGTTACTCCGCTAGTATTTATGTAGTCATCTTACAAATACAATCACTTTGCACTATAGTGCTTGATTTTGACGCACAAGGGCTCGTTCACACAGGATATTAGTGTATATTCAAAAGCAGAAAATCAATGTGACTGACTTTGCCTGATGTACTTGTCTGGCTAATGGCGATAGCATTAAAGAGTATTCATTGGCTGATTCCAATTTGGCAGCAAACATATTGTGTGTGTCTTTCATTTAAATATATTGTAAAAAAGGTTGTTTTTTTTCAAGTGAAACGGCAAAGTTTTAATTATTAACATGTACTGTTACACCCCTAGTATTTATGTACTCATCTTACAAAAACAATCACTTTGCTGTAGTGCTTTATTTTGATGCACAAGGGCTCGTTCACACAGAATGTTTGTGTGTATTAAAAAGCAGAAAACCAAAGTGACTAACTTTGCATGATGTCTTTAAAAAAATGGCGCTCATAGCTTGTGATGCTTAAAAAAACAGCATGGCTTGTCGCAAAGGTCAAACAAAGAGTCTATTTAGTGCATATTTGCATAGAGCAGCAATTAAAACAACACAGAATGCCCTGTGTGAACGACCCATTAGCGTTCAATCTTACCCATGGGAAGTCGAACAAAGTGTTGCTTTAAATTGCTAATCTTCAATGAATGAGCGCCGCAACCTTCTCGATCCTCATTAGGGGGCATGAGGCTCATTTGGAGGATGATGATGAGGGTGAAGATGATGGTGATGATCATGATGATGAATTGCAACAGTAAGTTCCTCTGATTCTATAGCCAATCTCTTCCTGCTGATCTAGAGGTTAAAACGCTTCACGCTCACGATGCACTGGCGACTTTTTGGCAAATATGCAACAGCCTGTGGTATTTCTTTGTGACTTTTCTTTTAACTCTCGTACTGCTTTTCAGCATCCCCTGAAAATGTTGCCAGTGCATCGTGGTCTTTCATCTGTTTTCTGTCCTCTCTGGACAACACCATCTCATCTTCCCTTTATTTAGCAATGAATGTTGCAGTTCACCTACTTTTGCTATAATATCCTGAGTTCAAATGCTAGTGAACGTCCAGAGCTGGGTAGTAATTGGTTACATGTAATCTGGATTGCATAATCACATTCAGAAAATGAAGTACTTGTAATTAGATCACTATTTAAAATACTTGCATGTGAATTGCATGATTCTGTTTAATTTACACAATTGCAGTGTCAACAATTCTTAATTGTCCCAATTAAAAAAAAAAAAAAAAATATATATATATATATATATATATATATATATATATATATATATATATATATATATATATATATATATATATATATATTATTTAGGCTGTTTTTTTTAAGTTTGCAATGTTTTATGTTTTAAATTGATTTTGTCAAACTTCTACTATTTTAGTCGAAATATTTTATGTAATATTTGATGTAGCAGTGATATTGCTATAAATTTCATTTATTTTAAATAAAGTTTGTAGTATATATTTCAAGTTTTTATAATATTAAGTTAGCATTTTAAAATCATAAGATAATAAAATGCACTGACGTGAAAATAATGGCCAAAACCAAAAATTCATGTTGGAGGTGGGTGGAAACCTTTTTTTCCCATTGGCAATTTCAAAATGGAATTTTCCATTTTCGGACGATAATTCTCAGTGGCTGAAATTTCAGTGCTTTTAATTCAGAAATACTATCGTCAAACACTGGTTTATTAGTGTTAGTGTTTTAGGTGTTACCTGTACAAACGTTGTGATTTAAAACACTGTCGAGGCTTAAGTTGGTGATTTTTTTTTTCACGTACTACTGTATATAGAATATGTAACACCAAAAAATGGTTAGCACAAAAGTAATCTAAATGTAATTCAAAAAGTAGTCAGATTACATTACCATAAATGTGTAATCTAATCCAAAAAATGACTGCCTTTAAATTTTGTTGTTAAAGTTGTAAACAGTACTGATTACAATTTGTAAGTAATTACCCAGCTCTGTGTACAACCTCTATTACATACACATATACATTAAAATCATAAGATCATAAAATGCACCAAAATTAAAATTATGGCCAAAACCAAAAATTCTTCTTGGAGTTGGGTGGACCCTGCACTCTGAAACTTTTTTTCTCATTGGCAATTTCAAAATGGAATTTTCTGTTTTCGTACTATAATTATCAGTGGCCAAAATTTCAGTGCATATAATTTAGAAATAGTATGGTCAAACACTGACAGCAAGGTTTATTAGTGTTAGTACTTTTAGGTACTGCCTGTACAAACTTTGTGCTTTAAAATGCTGTCGAGGCTTATTCTAGATTATTCTATTAATTCTATATATTATATGTGACATCAAATAAAGGTTAGCCCAGAAGTAATCTAAATGTTATCCAAAAAGTAGTCAGATTACATTACCATAACAGAGTGATCTAATTTAATACATTATTTAGCTGACTTTAAATTTTGTTGTGTACTGGTAAACAGTACTGATTACAAATTATATGCAGACTACCCAGCTCTGTGTACAACCTCTATTACATACACTTCACTCTTGTGTACACACTAGTGAGCTTTCTTATACATTGATACAAAAATGAAGATGTTGTCATAATTTATTCATCCTCATGTTGCAAACCTGAAAGCTGTTATTAGTGACGGCCAAAAAAATCAATTTGACTTGATGCGATGCTGAATTTCGTACTTCAAAAATGATCTTTAACAATGGCATGCGGGTGAGTAAATAATAACCTTTATTAGAGGGTGTATTATTCCTGGTGCATTTGATTGCATGTTTGTCTGTTGTGTGTTTTTGTCCTCTATCGTACCCTTGTTGGTGTTGGAGTGTCAGATGAAACAAACCACAGAGGTCCATTAACATCTTGTTAATGTCCTCGAATTATGTTGTATGATTAGCATGAATGATTAGCAATGTGACTCATCTAATTGGATATCTGATTTGTCTCAGCACGAAAAGCTCCACCATGAGGCCCAAGGTCCCTCCACCTCTTCCTCCCAAGGTGAATGTCCCAGTCAATAATTTGTGTAATTGCTTGAAACCTTTCAAGGTTTGCCAGCATTGTAATGTTTGGGTCTGTTTTTATTGTTATTTTTAGAGAAATCAGTGCTATTGGTCAAAATTAAGTATGGATAATTTTCAGTAATTCAGTGAGTCGCTCTTCTTTAGTCTCACTGGATGCAATGTTTTCATTAATTAATTAATTAATTTATTTATTTATTTGTTAATTTATTGATTTATTATTTGTTTATTTACTTATTTATTATTTTATTTAAAGAGTCAAATGTTATTATCTGATTTTTGGAACATTTAAATTATAATTTTATATATTTATATTTATTTTAATTATTTTTTAATTTCACAATTTAATATTAGTATTAAATTAATAATAATGATAGTTATCATCATCACCATAAATTATTATAAAAGCATTACTGTAATATCATAATAATACTAGAGACATTTTAAATTGCTAGAAAAATATTATGTTTAGAATAAAAACTGTTCTTTTGAACATTATGTTGCTTAAAAATGCTGAAAAAATAAGTATAACAAAAAAATAAACATAACAACAGTTTAATCACTGATGATTATGAATGCTTCGTGATTTATCATAAATAATAAACCAAATCTTCATACTAGAATACTTTCTGAAGGATTATCTGAGACCGAAAACTATAGTAATGATGTTAAAAATCAAACTGTGCCACAACAGAAATGAATGGTATTTTAAAATTGATCAAACTGGAAAATGTTTGTAATGTTTACTGCATTTAATCAAATACAAAATAAAACCACCCCTAAAAAAATCATAAAATTGTCAAAAAAAAAATATTCTAGTTTAATAAGTTTATTTTTACTGATACTGTTGTGGAAAATATATTCGGGTCTGCAAAATATTTTCTAAGTTTCTAAGTCAAAGTTTTCAAAAAATAAAGTCTGACATCTCTTAAGTCTTTAGGCAAAGAAGTTTATTTTTACAGCATTAGTAACAACAGAGACAGATTGTTCGATCGCTGATAAGTGTAGGCTAGCACACAGTATAAATACACTTCTCTATTAAAATGTACACATTATCACATCTCCATTAACTTCTCCACTAATAGGATCTCAACTCTCCCAGATACTCCTTACCCATGATCAGGTCTTTCCCTCCTACTTCAAATGTGTGCACTTCAGCAAAAACAATGCTCAGTATATCTTATTCACTGTAGATTGAGCTGTCAACTTTAAGTTTAGCTGAAGTTCACATGGGTAGTTTTAGGGTCATAGTATTTTGAAAGTCATTGCAACTGGGCATGGGTGCGTGTCTGAGTGTGCAGGTGTGTTGCACATGAATCAGAACGCAAGTGCCCTTATGACTTTACCTCCATACACCTGTTCCCGTTACGTTACTTACACATCCTGTTTTTTAAAATTCTTTTCCTGTTTCTGGTTGTGTTTGCACAGTATTTCTGTATTTCTCATCAGACTACAGTCTGCTTGAACATGGCTGCTTCATAAACGTATAAAGGTTAAACATACAAAGATGATGATAATAATGCAACATACATAAGATAATAATAGGCGTACAATAACCATAAATCATATAGAATAATATTGAAGTCATCCAAATAAGCATACAACTGAAAGAAATGTGATCATCAGAAATTCATCACAACATAGAATCATTAAATTCCTAAATAATTCTAGTAATAATATCAATAATAATACTTTATTATTTGTATTAATAATAGCAATAATAATTTTTTGAAAATATTATAACTTATAAATTAATTATTATTAAATATTAAAGGGTTGTTTATGTATAGGTGGTGTTATTATTTTCACCATTTTTAGTCTATTTCTCATTTTGGCCTAAAACGTATCATAATTCAGTCAACAGCTTCTAAAGTGTGTCGTTTTTTTGTTTTGTTTTTTGTTATCAAAGTATTGTTCGATTGCATGCTGCTAATTTTGTCCTGCTGTTTCCAGCCAAAGCCCAGTCCGGGACCACATCAAAGTCCCTCTGCTGATCCTGACAGGAATAACCAGGGCACAATAAAGCGCTGCCCGGAACCCGAAAGCCCTGCTCGATCATCCACCAGCGTCCCTCCTCGACCTCCACCTCCTCGACTGCCTGCATACAAGCTCAGCAGTTTAGGTAATGAGACCCATCAGGAAGAACACGGCCTGTGGGGAGCCCAGGGGGATGCTGGGATATGTAGTCAGTTCGACCAGAGGCTTCAAGTCTCGTTTGACGATGAGGAAAATCATGATGAGGAAGAAAACAGTAAGACAGGCCCCGTCCCTTATTAAACTCAACTTTTCCCAATCAGTCCCTCCAGGATTTTGCAGTGAGTTTTCAGATTTTTGCCATTTGAAATAGCAGCTTTTTCCTCAAAACTTAAAAGAATATTTATATTTATATAAAGGAAACACAGAAGGAGAAAATTAAGTGTTGATCTCTTAACCCTATAAAGCTTACTGTATCATATTCTGTATATACTGTATATATATATGCATGCATAAAATAACACAAGAATGACTTCAAATTTAAATTGTCATACACAATAAGATACATAGTGAAATGCTTACTCAACCATTTGTGACCTTAAAAATAATAATAACAATAAGAATCTAAATTATGGAGAAAAAGAAGTTCTGCAATACATTGTATAGAGTATATGGCTGTAGGTAGTATTAAAAAATTGTAAATAAAAAAATTAATATTTATTTATTTATTTATTATCTGGCTGAGCTGAAGCTTGATCTCTTTCAGGACTTATTTTTTTATTAGAAGTGTTCTGCAATTAACAATGCACTTTATAACATACACCTGCATTTAACTTTATAAAAAACACAGCAAAATAATATTTTAGGATAGTGTTATCTGAGAACTTCCTGGCTTTACATGATGTATTTACAGATTAGTGAAAGTTTAAAGTAAGATGTTTGCTACTTGTGTATTTGTCTTAAGTAAAATCACTGTCCATTGAGACTATCCCTTTTCTTTTTCTTCAATGCATTCAAAAAAGTCTAATCTAAACAGTAACTCACATTACATTTTCAAAAAAGTGACTCAAATATTATTACTTATTTTTTACCTGGAAAAGTAATATACTGTAATTACGTGACTCAAGTTACTTGTAATGCGTTACCACAACACTCTATTATATATTATAACATTATTTATTTTGGATAAATTGCACTTTGCCATCAAGCCAAATACACCGTTGTCAGTGTTTTATCACAGAACATTTATTTGAGATTTTAGAAAATGAAACACATCGATACTAGTTCCAGCAAATCAAGCAATTCATAGCTTGTCAAATACACACTGAAGTCTGTGGAGACCTAACTTAACCTGCTGGCATGCTTTATTTACATTTACACATGGAGTATGTAAGCCAATTTTATTTATATTACACATTTTATACACAATGGTAATTCAAAGTGCTTTAAATAAAATAATTAAAAGCGGAGTATAAAAAAGAATTAAAGTGCATTAAAAGGGATAAATAGAGAAAGATACATGAATATTTCAATCTGTCGGACATACAGCACTTTGCTTAGTAAAAGTCCTCGTTGTGTAGATCAGTTCAAACTGGAAATGTATTATTGGCCACATCTAAAAACAACGAACGAGTAACGAATCAGATTGGAGCTCTAAGCAATGCATTGTGAGTGCCAATGCTGCACAGCAATTAAAAAAAATGTCAATCTCCTCTAAATTTAATGACATTTCTTTGATTTCGTTAAATCCTTCGATCACAAGATACTGGAGGGTCTGCCCTGTAATAACGCTTAAACCCCTGCCCTAAACCCATTTCCAGACCATCCTAGTGTTCGTGCCTCTAGTTAGTCGCTAGTGAGATCACATGCCATTCTTTTCTCTCGCCCTCTTGAAGAGAAGCGGTGTTGGCATGTGAAATGTCATACGCCCTCTTGAAGACATCATAAAACACCCACTCCACCCCTGTCATCTTTCCCTTGTCAGATCTTTGTTCTGCTGTCAGTCATTGTCACAGTCGTGTTTTTTGATTCACACGCTTGACTAGCTTCTATTGTGTCTTAGTGTGCAAATCACAACAGTAGCTTAGGAAACAATGCTGATAATGCTGACCTTCTAATGTAATTGCAGGCATAAAGCACACTTCCTTAGGTGTGTGTCCCCCCTGTATACCTGTTTAAAATATCTTTTAAGCTTTCTTAACAAAACCTTGTGACTGAACTGTGCATATATGCTTTCTTATTTGCAGGTAATGGAATAAGCCCATCTGAACACTCTGCGTCAACAGAGAGACAGTCCACGATGCCCCCTGCTGTTCCTGTACCAAAGGACAAGAAAGATTTTCCAGTATTGCTTCATTTTAGTCAATACAATTAGTGAACTGCAATGCTATTTTCTTGTAATTGTGTGTGTGTGTGTGTGTGTGTGTGTGTGTGTGTGTGTGTGTGTGTGTGTGTGTGTGTGTGTGTGTGTGTGTGTGTGTGTGTGTGTGTGTGTGTGTGTGTGTGTGTGTTTAAATATTTGTATTTAATTAGTTATTTAATTTCACAGTTATACTTAATATTGTTTATTATAATAAGTATTAGGCAGATAAAGTAAATCCGAAATATGCATTATACTGCTGTTAAGTACTAATATTAAAATATTAGTAACAAAATTAATTTTATTTAATAAAGAGTGAAATATTATTATATGCATATTTGCACATTTTATATAATTATCTTATTTTTTTAGTTTTGTATTATTTATTTATTATTTATTTACTTATTATTGTGTATCATGTTGATTACAAGGTATATAAAGTAAATATTAAATATGTGTTACATATTTCAATTTCTATTAATATTGCATATAATTCTATGTAGTAATAATAGTAAAATTGTACAAAATAAATTTTATTTAATAAAAAGTGAAACATTTAATTGTATGCATATTTGAAAATGCATTTTATATAAGTAAATTATATGATTTTTCATTTTACAAAAATATTTTAAGTAGTAATTTAATTTCAGTTATTTTTGTGTTTTATATTATTTATAAGGTATATAAAGTAAATTTTAAATATATGTAACATTATTATTGCCGTTGACATCGTATATAATTCTATATATTAATAATAGTAAAAAAGTAGTAAAAATGTAATTTTATTTAATAAAAAGTGAAATATTATATTTGTTTAATTATATTCATATTTGCACTGCATTTTTATATAATCTTATTCTTTTCTGTTTTTTCATTATTTTACTGAAATGTTTTTAAGTTGTCATTTAAATTCACAAATCTTATTATTGTGCATTGTATTGTGATTATAAGGTATATAAAGTAAGTAAATCTTAAATAAATATAACATATTATTGCTTTTAATATTGCAAATAATTCTATACAGTAATAATAGTAAAATAGTAGTAAAAAATAAATGTTATTAAAGAAAAAATGAAATATTATAATAGATGCATCTAAATATAGGCATATTTGCACACCTTTTTATATAGTTATCTTATTATTTTCTGTTTTTTTTTTCATTATTTTACTAAAATATTTTGATTTAAGTAGTCATTTACTATCACTGTTATTCTTATTATTGTTTAGTATGTTGATTATAAGGTATATAAAGTAAACATTAAATATGTATTACATAATTTTTTTGCTGATAGAGCAAATTGTTCTGTGTAGTAATAATAGTAAAATAATAACAAAAAGCAAATTTCATTTAATAAAGTGAAATATTGTAATAGATTTAATTAGATGCATATTTGAACTCATTTTTATCTTATGTGATTTTTCATTATTTTACAAAAATATTTTTAAGTAGTTATTTAATTTAAAAGTTATTCTTATTATTGTGTATTATGTTGAGTAAGTATAAGAAGTCAATCTTAAATACATATAACATATTATTGCTGTTGATATTGCAAATAATTCTATATAGTAATAATAGTAAAATAGTAGTAAAAAAATAAATGTTATTTTATAAAAAGTGAAATATTATAATAGATACATTTAATTATATGCATATTTGCACACCTTTTATATAGTAATCTTAAGTGATTTTAAAATATTATATAATTTTAGTAATAATTTAATAATTTTAAGCCATTTGATTTCACAGTTATTCTTATTATTGTGTATTATATTTATTATAAATGAAGTAAATATGTATTACGTAGTTTTATTCCTCTTGATATCGCATACAATGCTATATAGTAATAATAAATAAATGGTAGGAAAATAATAGTAAAAATGTAATTGTATTTAAAAAAATAGTGTAATATTATAATAGATGTGTTTAATTCTATGCATATTGGCACACCTTTTTATATAAGTCAAGTTGGCTTTTATTGTCATTTCAACAATATACCGTGCAGTATACAGTGAAACCAAACAATGTTCCTCCAGGACCAAGCTGCTACATCAAACAACATATATTGACAGCATAACACAGGACTGTGCACTACTATAAAAATCTAGAGAACAAAAAAAATAAGATAAACTACAGTTAAAAAGAAATAAAATAAGACTATAAATATGAGTGCAAAGTGCGGTTTGTGCAACATTAAGTGCAAATAAGACATGACAGGAAACAGTAATGCCGACCAGTACACTACGGATGTTGAGCAAATGGAGCAGATATAAATACTGTACATATAAACATACATAATTATCTTTATATAATTACATAATTACATAATTAAAAAAATTTAAATGATATTGATCAGCTACAAATTACTATTCTATGACTATACTATGATATAATATTATATCTATATATAGTTATAATAAATGATAATTATAGTTATCATCATTATGTACCTACTAAATGAATAATATGCCTATAAAGAAAGAATAAAGAAATTGAATTTCCGTTGTTGTATATTCCCACAGAAACCCATCAGCAATGGTCTTCCGCCAACTCCAAAGGTTCATGTGAGTGGACGCCATATTAAGACATGTTAAGACAGTGTCACATATTTACAGTGCCTATAGAAAATCATCATACCCTGTGAAAATGTATACCTTTATTCACATTACATCCTGCTTTCAAAAGACCTTCGGGAGAAAAGTTGTAGAAAGGCACAGGTTAGGAGAAGGCTACAAAACATGCCAAAGGCTTGGAGAAGTTAATTTGGAATGTGATTTGATTTCAGACAGAATGACACAATTATTTCAAAGGGGTATCTTGTTTTATGTATAGGCACTGTAGATCTATGGCACTATATCAACAACATATATATATATATATATATATATATATATATATATATATATATATATATATATATATATATATATATATATATTTTTTTTTTTTTTTTTTTTTTTTTTTTTAATTCACCTTTTAACTGCATTTAAATGATCTATTCTTGTATTTCCGTGTCCAGATGGGAGCATGTTTCTCGAAAGTCTTCAATGGCTGCCCATTAAAAATACACTGCGCTACCTCATGGATCAACCCCGACACACGAGGTGAGCTTGACACCATTATCTGGCAAAGCTCAAATGTTAATACGCATCTATTAATACTGCCTACATAAGCGTCTGCTCGTGCTAAACCACCTCTGATAAGTCTGTTCGTGCATTGCAGACCAGTATCTGATATTTGGAGCAGAGGAAGGCATTTACACATTAAACCTGAATGAGCTGCACGAGACCTCCATGGAGCAGGTATACCATGTTTAGTTTTTCTGTCCAACAATTTAGTATTATTCATTTATACCCCTTTTTCTAATATTATTATATTATGGGGAAGCTCCATTCAAAAGAAATGAAACAAATCAGATCACATAGCAAGGATGCTCTACAAAAACCCCATACCATAGTGAGAGGTGCATTTGGCTTGGTGCTTGATTTTGATCCGTCATTTAATTTAAATGAATGTTATGTATGAAAGTAAATCAGTTGCGAAACTCGAGAGCTTGCAAATGTAAATGTGAGCACTTGTGATAATAATATTTGTATGTGTAGGTTGAAATGTACACTTACAGCTCTGATGTGAACAGCTGAAATCCTCGATTTGCACACACACACAACAATCCACACACTTATGTTTTAAATTCGAAGTTGCAGATTAATAGTTGTGTATTTGTAAAATGTCATTCACAAATACAAAGTGACAGACACACGTGTGCACGGCAAATTTGACTGCATCTTCGCTCTACAACCACAGGTCGGCACTCACAACCTCTCAGATTCGTCAGTACAACTACAAATCTCCCGCGCTCTGACTTTTGCTACACATCTCCCGCGATCTCTGTAGCAGAACTCATCTGTGCACTCGCAGATGCAGAGGCGTGAGCAGCGCTGGGCAGGGGAGGGGCGGGGCTGGTGTAAAGCTGTTTGATTGGCTGATGCCTGACCAATGAACAATGCTAGCAGCCAACAGGACTGAGGTGCAAAATAATAATTTCCCACGATTATTTTATTATTTAGGGTTTATTTAAACTCTTTTCTGAAGAGATTCTTGTTAAAAATAATAAATTCTGTGGAAATGTACATACCAGTAAAAGAGCAGCAAAGCCAGTTTATTGGCTAGAGCCAGCCAATGAGATGGGGCGTTTCTGTTTGTCAGGACACAGGGCAGCTCACGTTGTTGGAGGCCTCGAGCAATCAGAGGGTAAGTTATGATTTTTAATAATTATCTATATGTTCAATACTGTTAGCTAAGCTAAGGACTGTGCTGGGTGCTTCTCTTGTTTGTTTTTTTATATAAGAAACAGTTATGAGTTATCTAGGAGCTGCTTTCAATCATGTTATATGGTTCTAAAGATACGATTCAACCCACATGAAATAAGAAGTTGTAATAGTATTTATAGTAAATAATATTACATTTTTGAACCATACTAACTATAATAAACTGTATTATACAGTATATATTGCAGTATCTACAACTTTGTTAATGAATGCAACAGCACACTGTAGTATTAACTAGCATGAACTTTAATAAATTGAAGTATACTTGTATGTATGTGAGTATATATATATATATATATATATATATATATATATATATATATATATATATATATATAGCTTAAATTTGAAAAAATTGAAATATAGCTATCTGTTTAAAACTAAACATTCTAATGCCATTTATTATGCAAATATCAAGCTGAAACAAATCTGTTAAGAACACATATTTATATGTAAAACCTAATACATTTTAAAGCAGTTTCATTTCTTTCTAATTTTTACATCTACATGCATTACATCTGATTTAGGTCCACAACTTGCATCCTTCAACATGATATGTGTGTTCAAAGGAAGAGCAACTAGGTGAGGGAGACAGTGTCCATCGCTCGGCTGAGGGTCCACTTTGAGCATCTCATCTGCAGGGTTAAGCAACATAAGCTGAACAGTCATCATCTCTCTCTATTACAGCGAGCATCAACCAGCTTTACACAATGGCTTGCTTTCTGACCATTAGTTAAGGCTTGAGCAAAGTATTAAAGAGGAGATAACATTTGATGGGTAATGATGAAGTTGGATTTACCACCTCCATCTCATTATGAACAAGGAAAAACCCTGAAATATTTCAATACAAGTAACTAGACATTTGCACTGCACTTATTTGGACTGTAAATTTTATTTGACAAATTACATTCCCTTACAGAACAGGTGTCAAACTCAGTTCCTGGAGGGCTGCAGCTTTGCAAAGTTTAGTTCTAACCCTAATTAAACACACCTGATCAAACTAATTGAGTCCTTCAGGTTTGTTTGAAACTTTCACTTAAGTGTGTTGAAGCAGGGTTGCAACTAAAAACGTGCAGGGTTACGGCCCTTCAGGAACTGAGTTTGACACCCCTGCCTTACAGTAAAGTGTAAAAATACTACATTAAACAATTATCAAAATAAAAGTTGTGTTTGTGGGTGAGTGTGTGTTTTGTTCAAATCTGTAGTCATCTTGGCAAGAAAAAAGAGAAAATAAAGTTGGCTTCCTCTTGAATGATCTGAATCATTTTGAAGTGTTTGTAGATGAGCTGGATCATCATGTCATCTTTAGCATAAATAACATCCTATTCAAGCTATGCAGCTTCTCTGAGTTCCTCATCGACTTGAAACATGCTGATCTCTCCTGTCACTCCATCCTTACAGGAAACTGAGAAATAACCTATAGTTAGTAACGTTCATAATTAAAAAAGTGATATAAAGGACACACTGTACACAAACATGTAAATAGATAGATGGATAGATAGATATGATGCAGGTTATAATAACAAAAACCGGTATGATCTGTAAGAAACTGAAACGCCTAGTGTTATTTTTAATTGCTATTAATGTGTGTGTGTGTGTGTGTGTGTGTGTGTGTGTGTGTGTGTGTGTGTGTGTGTGTGTGTGTGTGTAAATATACTTCAATTTATTAAAGTTCATGCTAGTTAATACTACAGTGTGCTGTTGCATTCATTAACAAAGTTGTAGATACTGCAAAATATACAGTATAATACAGTTTATTATAGTTAGTATGGTTCAAAAATGTAATATTATTTACTATAAATACTATTACAACTTCTTATTTCATGTGGGTTGAATCGTATCTTTAGAACCATATAACATGATTGAAAGCAGCTCCTAGATAACTCATAACTGTTTCTTATATAAAAAAACAAACAAGAGAAGCACCCAGCACAGTCCTTAGCTTAGCTAACAGTATTGAACATATAGATAATTATTAAAAATCATAACTTACCCTCTGATTGCTCGAGGCCTCCAACAACGTGAGCTGCCCTGTGTCCTGACAAACAGAAACGCCCCATCTCATTGGCTGGCTCTAGCCAATAAACTGGCTTTGCTGCTCTTTTACTAGTATGTACATTTCCACAGAATTTATTATTTTTAACAAGAATCTCTTCAGAAAAGAGTTTAAATAAACCCTAAATAATAAAATAATCGTGGGAAATGATTATTTTGCACCTCAGTCCTGTTGGCTGCTAGCATTGTTCATTGGTCAGGCATCAGCCAATCAAACAGCTTTACACCAGCCCCGCCCCTCCCCTGCCCAGCGCTGCTCACGCCTCTGCATCTGCGAGTGCACAGATGAGTTCTGCTACAGAGATCGCGGGAGATGTGTAGCAAAAGTCAGAGCGCGGGAGATTTGTAGTTGTACTGACGAATCTGAGAGGTTGTGAGTGCCGACCTGTGGTTGTAGAGCGAAGATGCAGTCAAATTTGCCGTGCACACGTGTGTCTGTCACTTTGTATTTGTGAATGACATTTTACAAATACACAACTATTAATCTGCAACTTCGAATTTAAAACATAAGTGTGTGGATTGTTGTGTGTGTGTGCAAATCGAGGATTTCAGCTGTTCACATCAGAGCTGTAAGTGTACATTTCAACCTACACATACAAATATTATTATCACAAGTGCTCACATTTACATTTGCAAGCTCTCGAGTTTCGCAACTGATTTACTTTCATAGTTATGCTTGGTATTTTAATGCAACATTAGCATCATCTGTGGCCAAATTGTGTTTTTTTTTTTTAATCTTTTTTTCTTCCATACAGTACTGTAATATTTAATATACATCTGTGATATTGCTGCTGAAAGATTTGTTCAGAGTTTCTTAGGTTATTCAAGTTATTTGTTCATTCTAATAAGTGACCTTTAAATATTCAAAGGATGAACAGTGAGAATTAACACCCATTGACAATTGTCCCTCATGCTTATCGTTGTTGTTTAACGTCTTGTGACTAAACAAAATGTGCCAATGTGAGCATTCATAGCAACGTGTAAAACACCAGATGTAAAAGCGAGATGTAAAAGCGTCATATGGGATAAATTTTCTGCCAAAAGTATTCCGGTCACCGATTGAAAAATAATAGCATGAATTAAAAATATAAAAGGCTGTGTAAATGTATAATCCAAAAATAAATAAATTAATAAAAACATTTTTTAAAATATGAAACAAAGATCAAAAATAGATCAAAAACAAATAAACAAAATGAAAATAATATTGCACAAAACTAAAGCATTGGCTCAAAGTTGCTTTTGAGTGATGTAAACTCCCCCTTCATCTGATTGGCTTAAGGAGCAGCTGTCAATCTCAGCTAGTGAACCAATGATGGCGCTGAAGCTGTCATCAGCATTGTTTGAACCCGCTAGCCCAGAATATGAAAGTAAGAGCGGAGGGTAAAAAAACCATAGGCACACACACAATGTAAATATAAGCTGAATTCAGCTTTCATTTTTGTGCAAAATAATTTTAAATATGTTTACATTTTTGATTCACACTTATTATTTTCCAATCCATCCTCACATTTTTTTCTTTTTCTTAATTTAGTATTTATTTTTTGTAATTTTCCCTTTTAATTATACACATTTATAATAATTTGATTCACGCTTATTATTTTTAAATCTTTGAACCCCATACTTTGCATCACACCAAAAAAAAAAAAAAAAAAACATTGCAGATGTGTGTGTTTCTAAATGACACTATGGACTAAATTTTATGCCAAAAGTATTGGTCTTTTGACCCTTTGCTCTCATTTCCATATTCTGGGCTTGCGGGTTCAAAGAATAACACAATGCAATTTCATTCTCAAATACGGGACGGTTACGTATTTTAAGGGACAGGTGGCAACCCTACAGGTATCCCAGAGTGCACTGCAGCCCAACCAGCGAAAGCTAACAGCGGACAAAGAGCTTAGTATGACCAAGAGGCGACAATCTATAGAACGTTCTATTGCAACAGCAGCGCCCAGCAACAGCCCCGGATTCAACTACTTTGGAGTGAAAGCGATTAGCTGTCCATTGGAACTCATTGCTGTCGGGATGGCAAGCAGCTGCTTTGTTTTTTATTTATTTATTTAAAAAGGGCATTAAAGCTCAGATACAACATGAAAGCTGACAATACAACACTTACAATCACAATCATCAGCACTTTTAATAGTTTATTTTGCAGACATAATATGCTGTTGTTCTATTGGAGTTTTCATTATAAAATGGCCGCCACGCCATCTAGTGGCTGTTTCCCAAATCACACTAGAGTGTCGCCTCGTGGTTAAATGCTCTTTGCAGAGGAGGAGAAAACCCCTACGGTTTTAAAAAATACTCCTTTGCTGTGTCACTAAATAAAGTTTTAAGAGTTTTTCAGGTATGAATGTAGTTGTTTTAAACTCGAATCTGTAGTTTATTCACAAAGATAGCACGTTTTTGGGGATGTGCCTCAGCTTATGCAGACTCTGACCCCAGCCTGTCAGCGAGAGCTTCAACATCACCTCCCCTGCCGAGAGCAGCTTTAATCGGCCAGTCCATCATGGATGTACCGCTGGATTTGTCCATTGTAGTTAAAACATGGTATTTAATCCATCTTGTGCATGTCTAACGGACAGTTTTTGGTCTTTTAAATCTATTATTTATTCTCAGGCGTATTATTTTGGCAGTGTTTTTTTGTTATCTTTAATAATTGTTTTTAATTATGTTACCGTGTTGTATGAGGTTGGACAGTGTTTACCAAATTGCTTTGCGTTATATTTATTTCCTATTGTTTGTAATGTACATTATTTAATTTTCATTGTAGTGTATTAAATATGATAATCAAGGACATTAGTCAGTGTATAAAAATAATTTTTACTTCACATTTATGATGATTTGTTTGCATTTTCTTAAATCAAAAATATAGATTTATAATATTAATATAATATTAATAATAGGGCTGTCCTTCATATAATAATTTTATTGTTAATGTACAGTGAAACCAATAAATCCATGGTGAGGTAAATGATGCTATAAAGTACACTGCCGTTCAATTTTAAGTAGCCGACTTGTGTCCTCACGTCCTTGGTATTGAGAAACAGCCGTAATCTGAGAATTTAACTGAAAACAAACTGGAAGTGCATTTCCAGATTTTTATTTTAAGATTAGAAGAGCAAACAATGTTTTTTTTCTTAATGACATGCACAGATTAATTGTTCACCACAAAACTAGCAATGTGAGTCAACAAAACCATATGGTTAGTGTTGATTTCATTTCTGCTTTTAGCACTATTTAATGTGAGGGAGTCATTTTTTTAAGTTGAAAAATTAAAAATATCTCGATAAACTCTTACAATTAGCGCAATCATAAATTGTCCTGGTGTGCACAAGTTTTAAAGCACTTCATTGACCATTTACAGTTAGCAGACAATACTCCCACAATTCACATTAAAGCATTGTGCAGTGTAGGAAAAAAGGTGGATAAACTCTGAAATTGTGTGTTGTGTTTCTGCAAGTGTATCTCAAGTGTGGTGGACTTTTTTTGTCCTGTATTAAAGCTATTTTTGTGTTATTCTCAGCTTGTCCCCAGGAGATGTACTTGGCTGTATGTCCTGAGCAACAGCCTGCTATCAATATCTGGTAAGCTGAGTTTAGTGTTTCGAATTGCAAATTAGTCAGAGCACGTTTCTTTTTTTAACGATTGCTACAGTTTTAGTATTATATTTTGATGTTGGAGTTGCGCTGTATGCACTCTATGCTCCACAGCGCCTCCCAGTGTGTACAACTATAACTGCAAGCTTTTAATTTGCAGATCGAATAGATAATATCATAGATTCCCTTCATTTACAGCTACCAAAAGTTTAGTATTTTTTAAATATATACAGTTGAAGTCAGAATTATTATCCCTCCTGAATTATTAGCCCCCCCCCCTCTATATATTTTTCCAATCTCCGTTTAACAGAAAGAAGATTTTTTTCAACACATTTCTCAACATAATAATTTTAACAACTCATTTCTAATAACTCCATTGTTTTATCTTTGCAATGATGCCATGTGCTTTAAGACTTGGCTTTGTAAGCCTTTTAAGAGAGTTTAAAGCATTTTAATAACGCATAAAGAACTTTACTAAAGAATATTAATATTTAATAAAAAAAATAATTTTATTAAATAATATTATGCCAGTAATGTACACTCCCTAAAATAATAAACAAAAATACAAAAAGCAACGCTCACCCACTTAACTAGTGTTCAAATAATTCAAATAACTATAAGAAAATTCTATGTCAGGCGACTAGCTATTCCGTTTTCCCCAAAAAAGAAAGATAAACTCTTAAACCATATTGAATTTAAAGTTGTTTGGATTAGTTTAGAGACACTGAACAAATCATAATATAGAAACAGAAATGAGAGCACACAACACAAACCCACACACACATCACTGAACAAACCAGGCGTGCTGGTTGAATTTAAAGTCTGATTGGTCCACGAGGAAACACCCTAATTAAAAGAGACAGGCTCGGGATCCAATCAGCAGGTAGCTGTGACGGCAAAGAAAAGCGGAACATAAGGTGATTGGGTGAGACAAAGAACAAATGACGGACAAGGAGAGACGGAGAGGGAGAAAGTGACAACTCCTACGGACCGTAACAAAGACTATGCAATGTTATTTTACATTTGATTATTCAATTTCTGCAACCTGTTAAACTCTCCCCAGAAAACCTTAAACCACTGTTTAATTCACTTAAATATTTGCTCAATTTTGTTTATGACAGTAGTTTGTTTGTTTTATGTATATAATACATAAATTACATAAAATCTAGGGCTGCTCGATTATAGGAAAAATCATAATCACGATGTCAAAATTATTCACCCTTCTGTGAATTTTTTTTAGATAAATATTTCCCAAATGATGTTTAACAGAGGAATTTTTCACAGTATTTCCTATAATATTTTTTCTTCTGGAGAAAGTGTGATTTGTTTTATTTCAGCTAGAATAAAGGCAGGTTTAAATATTTTGAAATCTATTTTAAATAGCTCAGTATTATTAGCCCCCTTAGGCAATATATATATTTGATTGTCTGCAGAAGAAACTACTGTTAAATAATGACTTGCCTATTTACACTAATTAAGCCTTTGAATGCTACTTTAAGCTGAGATATTAGTATCTTGAAAAATATCTAGTAAAATATAATGTACTGTCATCATAGCAGAGATAAAAGAAGTCAGTTATTAAAAATGAGTTATCAAATCTGCCATGTTTAAACTGTGCTTTAAGCATCTTCACTGTGAGAAAAAACTTTAGCTACAGAAGTCTTCAGTCAAGAGCAGTGAGAAATTTTCTCCTTTTGTTTGATTAATAATAAAAGCAGGCGGCAGCAGGAGTATTGCGCGCTGTCTCTTTAAGAATAGTGCGGCTCTGATATTGTTTCTCTTTCACGTGTCTTTTGATTCTCAACTTGTTTGTTTATTACACAAATGAGGGTTAATATAAATAATCAGCAATCACCGCGCTCTGACACAAATGTGTATGTATTTGACCATTAAAGCGCTTACATTAAGAAGATGGGGTTAGAAGTGTGTGCTCTGCTCATCTCCAAGCATGTCCGAGGCTAAGCGCGGCGCGCACACACACAACAGCATGCGCTCTTTCACGCATTTAAAAACATGAATGATTCAAACGTACATCAATGAATGATGTGCATCCAGTGCTGCAAACGTTACATTACACCATGCTTTTAGTCATTTTCTTGTAGAACTGAGCTTTACAGAGCAACAAATGTGTACAACTGGAAAAGGGGCGGTATATGATGCAATAATCTTTTATCTCGATTAATGTTTTTTCATAATCATTAGAAGCCAAAATCGAAACCGGATTTTCGATTTATTGCACAGCCCTGATAAAAACTGGCATAAATAAAATGTAATTTATATAAATGAAAAAAAAAAATGTATTTCACTTCCCTAAAAAATCATCCCAGTCCATCTAAAAGAATGAAATCTTTTCTAAATAGAGCTATTTAGGTCATCTGATGAAATATTTATATCACTATATATCGCTGAGAAAAATAAAAAATAACGCAATGTCAAATTTTTTCAATATCGTGCAGGCCTGGAATGTAATATTTTACTAGATATTTGTCAAGATACTAGTATTCAGCTTAAAGTGCAATTTAAATGCTTAACTAGGGTAATCAGGCAAGTTAGGGTAATTGGGCAAGTTATTGTATAACTATTTGTTTTGTGGAAATTTGAAAAATAATATTGCTTAAAAGGGTGATAATATTGACCTTAAAATGGGTTTAAAAATATTAAAACCTGTTTTTATTCTAGCTGAAAAAAAAACAAATAAGACTTTCTCCAGAAGAAAAAATATTATAGGAAATACAGTGAAAAAATCGTAGCACTTTTAAACATCATTTGGGAAATATTTAAAAAAGAACGAAAACGATTTTGACTTCAATTGTAGTACATATTTTTGCAGATAGAATATTTAACTTTTTGTGGACGTTCCTACTTGATGTGTCTAAAGTGCTGGCTAATGTTGTCCTGATGTTTTGACTTCTGAATCTGTGTTTCGTCAGGAAAAGCTTGTCATCTGTACTCTCACAGTCTGTCTGGTCTGTTTGAACACGCTCGACAAATGCAGAAACTGCCTGTTTCCATCCCGACACACAAACTGCCTGACAAAATGATTCCCAGGTGAATGTTTGCATCAGTCAAGATGTGGCCAGTTCTTAAAATGTTCATATTCCATTCTGTTCAATTTTTAATCTGAATTTCAGGAAGTTCTCAGTGTCCAATAAGATCCCTGAGACTAAAGGCTGTCAGAAGTGCTGTGTAGGTGAGCAGATCCTGTTATTTTCTTGTGTTTTTTTTCCTGTATTTTTTACACGACTTTGTGTCAAGCTTTCAGGTCATTTTCACCCACATCTAATTCCTTGATTCACAGGCTAAGTGACTAATTTCTTCTTGACATTTTAGGCTCATAAATGTGCATTCATGTTTTTAAACTAGAGGCCTTGTTTCTCGCACCTAGTATTAACATGCATTTTCAGTAACCCAGCCACGATTCAGCCAAGATGCATTATCGTTTACACTTGTTTTCAAATCTTGTGACCACTGATGTTTGTTTTTGATTGAAACACTATCTCTATTATTTCATCGTGCTATACATGACTTTCTTAGGAGTGCACAGTGACTTTCTGGAAACAAACAAGCTCAAAACATTTAACATTACCCTGTATTTAGACTAATGCAGATGTACAGTTATTTATATACAGTTAAAGATAAACTTATACCTCTTGTAATTTTTTTAAATGTTTTTAAATAAGATGTTTAACTTACATTTTTTTTTTTTTTTCTGAGAAAAGACATATTTCTTTTCATTTTGCTGGAATATACAGCTGAGTCAGAATTATTAGCCTCCCTGTTTATTTTTTTTCCCCCAATTTCAGTTTAATGAAGAGAAGATTTTTCAACCAATTTCTAAACATAATAGTTTTCTCATTTCTAATAACTGATTTATTTTATCTTTGTCATGATGACAGTAAATAATATTTTACTAGATATTTTTCAAGACACTTCTATACAGCTTAAAGTGACATTTAAAGGATTAACTAGGTTAATTAGGTTAACTAGGCAGGTTAGGGTAATTAGGCAAGTTATTGTATAACGATGGTTTGTTCTGTAGACTATCGAAAAAAAATAGCTTAAAGAGGTTAATAATTTTGACCTTAAAATGGCTTTTAAAAAATTTAAAAACTGCTTTTATTCTCGCGGAAATGAAACAAATGAGACTTTCTCCAAAAGAAAAAAATATTATCAAACATACTGTGAAAATTTCCTTGCTCTGTTAAACATCATTTGGCAAATAGTTAAAAAGGAAAACAATTGAAAGGGGGGCTAATAATTCTGACTTCAACTGTATGTGTGTGTGTATATATATATATATATATATATATATATATATATATATATATATATATATATATATATATATATATATATATATATATATATATATACATACATACATACATATATACATAAATACATACATACATTTAAGTCTTCTAAGGTCAATATTAATAGCTGTAAAACCCTTAAAAATGGAATTTTTGATTGGCTTCTGAAAAAATCAATCAATTACTTTGACTTGCATACTTGATCAAATTAGACCTTAAAATTGCACTTTTACTGAATACTAGTGTAGTAAACAGTGTTGTGGTAGCACATTACAAGTAACGCGTGTTACAAAATTATAATACTCTTCTAAATAACAAGTAATGCATTACTTTTAAAAATGAAGTAATGCTATTTGAGTTACTTTTAAAACATGTAATGTAAAAACGTTTCAGTTTAGTTAATTCGCTTTTGTAAAATAAATTGCTAAATTAAATTAAACATAGTCGCATTGAATCCCACACAACGAGGGAATCCAGGAACAGACAGAAAGGAAGATGGCAGAGCTTTACATTTCTGCAATGGGAATATTCTCATTATTTTGAAGACATGGAAGAAAAGGAAAAGAGGATTATCTCAATGGACAGTGATTTTACTTTTTAATAGTACAAAAATTACTAAAGTAGCAAACACGTTGCTTTACACTATCATTAATTTGTTTATATGGCATGTATAGCTCTGGGCTCAGGATCATTCCACATTATTTGTTTGTGTTTTTGAAGGTAAATGAAGGTTACATAGTGTGTTGTTAATTGCAGACCTCCTCAATTTAAAAAGAAAAAAAACCTGCAAGTTCTGAAAGAGTTCAAACTTTAGCCAGGTAATAAAAAGTAACGCAAAAGTAACGTAACGCATTACGATAAAAAGTAACTAAGTAACGCAACTAGTTACTGTTTTGGGAGGTGACAAAATATTGTAATGCACTACTTTCTAAAGTTACTTCCCCCAACACAAGTAAATATATGAGTAATAATGCAAAAACAAAAGAAATGTGTTGTAATTATTAGCCATTCAAATTAATTTAAATTTTTATTAAAATAGTGTTGAAAGTCATCTGTCTGTTAAAACAGCACTTAGGAGATATTTGAAAAATAATACAAATTTCAAAGGAAGCCTTGTAATTTTGTCTTTAACTGTGTGTGTATGTGTACAATATAATCTAAATATAGATAATAAAAAAATATATGCATCAAATTTAGCCAAACACAACAGAATTAAATGTAAATGATTTGATTTGTCATATATGAAATATTTTAGTCTCTTTTTAGTCTTTTTCAATAATCTTTAGTGATGATAATAATTACCGGCAACTTAAGCTGGATGACTTTTGCCTTCATTTTAGGCAAAGTGTGATGTAATGTGTTCTATCATTTGTCTGTATGTTTATTCTCAGTGAGGAATCCATATACTGGCCACAAGTACCTGTGCGGTGCCTTTCAGTCCAGCATTGCTCTGTTTGAGTGGGTGGAGACCATGCAGAAATTCATGTTGGTCAAGGTGAGCACAATTATTCCCATCACCAAAACAACGTTTTACACCCAAAAATGAACATTTGCCACCATTTACTGACACTCAAATGCTTCTAAACTTGTATGATTTTCTTCTGTTAAACACTTTACAGTAAGGTTGTGTTAGTTAATGCATTAGTTAACATGAATTACAGTGAACAATGCATCTGTTAAGCATTACTCCATCATTGTAAACATTATTTGCATAATAATTAATAGATTAGTAAACATGAACTGATGGCGACCAACGACTTCATTCAGTATTAAATAATCTTTGTTATTGTCAACTTACTTGTATTCTAATGCATCTCTTTACATTAATAGCCTTATTAGTTCATGTTTACCTAAACATGCATTTGTTCATGGACTAGATAACAATAAACAACACGTTTATTCGGCAATAGTAAACTGTTAAGTAAACTGAACACACATTGATGTGTTGAATAATACATTAGTTAATGCATTTGTGAACTACTGTTTGAATACTGTACACTTTACATTAAGGTTCCTAATTCCCTTAATAAATACACTTCCTGACTAAAGTCTTGTTGTCGATCCCAGTTGTAAGAGCAACAAATAATAACTTGACTTCTAGTTGATCATTTGGAAAAGGGCAGAGAGTCGATTTTTCAAGTGAATCATGTCTTGAACTGCATCTCAATCATCACAAATACTGAAGACCTATTGGAAGCTGCATGGACCCAAGATTAGCATAGAAATCAGTCAAGTTTGGTGAAGGAAAAATCATGGTTTGGGGTTACATTCAGTATGGGGTCATACGAGAGATCTGCAGAGTGTATGGCAACATCAACAGCCTGAGATATCAAGACATTTGTGCTGCCCATTACATTACAAACCACAGGAGAGGGCAAATTTTTCAGCAGGATAGTGCTCTTTTTCATACTTTAGCCTCCACATCAAAGTTCCTGAAAGCAAAGAAGGTCAAGGTGCTCCAGGATTGGCAAGCCCAGTCACCAGACATGAACATTATTAAGCATCTCTGGAGTAAGATGAAGGAGGAGGTGTTAAAGCTGAATTAATAGGTTATTTGAGTCGTTGCACAGATGTATGAATGCAGTCGTCTAGGCTCATGGGAGTCATACACAATATTCAATCTTTTTCCACTGCACCATAACTATATTTTATACTGTACATTATTTCTAGTAAGTGACAAGACTTTCGTATAATCAAAGTCAGACCTTACTGTCCTAATTAAATAATTCAAAATCAAGGCATGATTATGTTTTATTTTGGTAAAATAAGTGTAATCTAGAGGCCTTTGCCTTTCAAATAAGCCACTTCTAATACCAAATAATCAACTTGAAGACGAGTTATTATTAGTTGTTCCAAAAACTTGAACAGGCGACAAGACTTTTGTCAGGTAGTGTACTTTATAAATGATGAATTGTGTTAATAACATAATCAATCGTGATTAACATCCAAGTTAAAGCACAAGTTTTTACTTTAACACTACGAAATAGGCATTTTATTCATATTTGTGGATTATTACTAACATTTATCATTAACAAAGCATTTATTATGGGAATAAGAATCCTTAGTGTGAAGTTTACACTAATTTAACAATATCTAACATTTGTTCATGTTAACTTATGTTGACTAATGTTTTTTTAATGCTAGTATACATAACTAATAATTTTCATTTAGTGGGTGAACGATCCCTTTAAGCTTTGGTATTAGTTTTACACCTACAAATCCACTGTTTAACAAACCCAAGATGATCTAACTGCACGTTATATAAAGCAGATTATTAGCCATTCCCGCTTCCGTTAAGCTTGTAAAAACTGCTGAATTTTCTTCTGCTTAAGCCTGGAGGGTTAAAACTGCTTTACTTGGCATTTCTCATATGCGCGCTGTTCTAAATTAAGCCCTGTGGTTCCTGCAGAGCATAGACTTCCCCCTGCCGTGTCCGCTGGAGGTGTTTGAGATGCTGGTGGTTCCTGAGCATCAGTATCCGCTCATCTGCATCGCCGTCAGCAAAGGCACAGAGCTCAACCAGGTGGTGCGCTTCGAGACCCTCAACCCCAACTCCACCTCCAACTGGTTCGATTCTGGTGGGTGTTTTGAAAAGCTGACAGCTTTATCTCTTCATATTCGTACATTAATTAATTGCTGAAATTCTCTATGATCTTTTTATGTAGGTACAGTTGAAGTCAGAATTATTCTGTATATTTTGTCCAATTTTTGTTTAAGGGAAAAAAGTTTTTTTTCAACACATTTCTGATTATAATAGTTTAAATAACTGATTTCTTTGCTATAATAACAGTACATATTATTTTACTAGATGTTTTTAAGATACTAGTATTCAGCTTAAAGTGACATTTTAAAGGCTTAAAGGGCCATGACACCCCCCACTTTCGGTTAAAGTCTACTTCAGAATTTTTTCAAAAGATGCATGATTAATGGGCGTGGAGCTCCGCAAGCATCGGGCAGGAGTGGGCGTGGCCAGCAGGGGAGAACGTGAGCGAATAACGAAGCTAGCTCACAAAATGAGACAAACCGTGAGGAGATGCATGAGTTTATAGTTTACATAGTTAAAATGCAAAGAAATAAATAGTGATTTAATGCCCTGCTACATTTGTTATTCGTAATTTCATATACAGATAACCACAATTTATATAATTATAAAGATAAGTGTGTTCATGTAAACCCTATAAATGAGGACTTCTCCCTCAATCCCCGTATCCAGCAGACTCAGTGCAGCAGGTCTCCTGACCTGTCTATTTTAACCGTTAGCCCTGCTGGTAATCTGGAGGATTGAGGCAAACACAGCAGCACAGTGATGTGTCTGAATGTGAATGAACTCCTAATAAAAGACAGCGTTTGCCATTCTCTAATTCTTGTGCTGCTCTCCCGACAAAAATGCAAGCAGCACACACACAGCTTTGCTGTATGATCGGCCCTGACAAGATCGCGGGGGAAAACATGCAACAAACCGCGTGGATCATGGAAACAAACGCATATGAGCCTTCATGAACGGCTAAATACTGTGTGCCCGTGCCGTGGGTCCGTGACGTGTCTCTCAGCTCGGGCTTGACTCTGGCAGGTCTGGCAGGTCTGGCAGGTCTCATGAATAATTAAGCAGCCGGCTCTTCTCATAGGATAAAAAAACTCCGCTATGAATAATAATGAGAAACCGACGCGTCATCATTGCACTTGCAGTACTGCGCTACGTCGCCGATTTTGATCCCGCCCCAAAAATCATTTTAAAACCGGAAGCTGAAATTAGCTGACAAAAGCTCAAAATTATCCAGTTTTCCCCACAATTAAAGCTGACAGGTGCTAACATTGTCTTAACTGATGATCAACACACACAAATCTGTTAATATAAAAAAAAAAAAGTTCTCCAGGGTGTCCTGAACCTTTAACTAGGTTAAATAGGCAAGTTAGAATAATTAGGCAAATTATTAAATGACTATGGTTTTTTTTATTTAGACAATCAAAAAATATATAGCCTAAAAGGGTTAATAATGTTGATCATAAAATGGTTAAAAGAAAATTCTAGTAGAAACAAAACAAATAAGACTTTCTCCAGAAGAAAAAATATTATAGTAAATACTATCAAAGATTTCTTGGTCTGTTAAAAAGTTTTACAGGTGGACTAATAATTTTGACTTCAGCTCTAACTATCTGATTTATTTATTTTCGAACAGAAATATCATACATAAAATATCATTACCAAAAAATACATTTCAACATGGTCGAAAATGGAGCGGGATGAAGCACAAGCTTATTATTTTCCCACCTCATTACCACATACATCATTCGTCATTTACTTCAACTTATTTCTTCTTTTACATGAGACATATTTTAACCTTTTGGCATTTTTGACATATCATACTGTATGTCTGATTCCATTTGTACATTTACATTTTGTAACACATACACACACCAAAAAAACAGTACTGCAAACAGCCATTAATTAAAATTTCATCATTTCACCTTTTTCAATCACCTTCATCATTATATTCCTTTAATAATATATATTTATGCAAGTTTTTAATTGATTATTATCCTGGCATTGTTTGAGTCTGATCTAGACTGTTCCATATTTTACACCACATTCAGACATACACAAACTTTAGGTTGTCCTTGTTTTCAGCCTCCTAAAATGTAGTTGTTCTCTCAGATTATATCCCCCTTGTCTTTCTTCAAAAAACTTTTGTATGCATTTCGGAAGTAAATTATTCCTAGTTTTAAACATAAACTTTGCTGTTTTAAATTTAACCAAATCATTGAACTTAAGTATCTTCAATTTAAAAAATAAAGGATTTGTATGCTCCAAATACCCCACATGTTCTATCAGTCTCATTATGTTTTTCTGCATTGTACATAAGGATCGTAAATTTGATTTATATGTATTCCCCCAAATTTTAACACAATAACTCCTATATGGCAACATAAGTGTGTTCTATAATATATACATTGATTTATTGTCCAGGATAAATCTTGCTTTATACACTACTGCTACAGATTTGACTAATTTTCATATCCCATTATTTATTTGTGGTTTCCAACTAAATTTATGATCCAATACAACACCAATTGCATATACTCTTTCTACAACGTCATTATCAATTTGTAAATCTATATTATGACTACTTTTTAATTTCCCAAATAACATGACCTTTGTTTTACTTATGTTTAATGACTATTTGTTTACGTCAAATCAATCATGTTTTAATCAACCCCATAAAATTTGGTAAATTATCCCCAGAATAAAAAATACTTGTAACATCTGCAAATAAAATAAATGTAAACAACCCTGATATCTTACACATATCATTAATATAAATTGTAAACAATATTAGACCTCAAACTGATCCTTGTGGCATGTCACAATTTACATTTAGATATGACGATTTATGGTTGCCAATTTCCATGAACTGTTGCCTATTTTTTAAAGAACTGCTTATGTAGTCCAAGGCTACTCCTCTAATACCATACCTTTCTAATTAATTTACCAATATATTATGATTTATTGTATCAAATGCCTTCTTTAAATCTATAAAATTCCAACCACCTTCCCCTTTTATCTATCATATTAGTAATTTCCACAATAATTTCTGTTAATGCCACAGATGTTGATCTATTTTTCCTGAAACCAAATTGCTCATCAGCTAAAAGGTTATGTGTTTCTATGAAATTATTAAGCCTAAATTATTAAACTTAATATCTTTTAAAAGGTAACGAAATATGAATTACTTGCATAACCAGATTAAAGGGATGGTGTATCAAAATATGAAACTTGTCATCATTTCCTCATCCTCACTTGTTCAAAACCGGTTTTGAGTTTCTTTTTTCTGTTGAAGATATTTTGAGGAATGTTGGGAAAACAGCCATTGACTGCCATAGTATTTTTTTGTTCTTATTATGGATGCCAATGGCTGAATTTTTTCCCCTCAACATTTTTCAGAAAATCTTGTTTTGTGTTCAACACAAGAAAGAAATGGTGAGGAATTTTACATGTTTGTGTGAACTATCCCTTTAAGGGGAAATACAGAACTCTTCTCTTTAAAGTTGTTATTTGTATCTATATAAGCAATATATTGTGCATTTATTGCAAATATGCATGTGGGTTGAAGGCAACACGTATATTCAGAGAAAGTGTGTTAAACGCAAATATCTACTGTAATTTTCCAATAATATGGGTCAAATGTTAAACGCTATTCAATAGAGAAAATATTTATGTCAAAATGAAACATCATACTTCAACTATAAAGGTTTGAAATGACAATTAATTTGTATTTTAGGCTTCATTGTGATCTATTACCCTTGTGCCTAACAACATTTTGATACAGTTGATGTCAAATGTATTAGCCCCTCTGGATGATTAAACCCCCCCCCCCCCCCCCCGGTTAATTTTTCCCCAATTTCTTTTTAACAGATTTTTTTCAACAAATTTCTAATCATAACAGTTTTAAGAACTTATGTCTAATAACTGATTTATTTTATCTTTGCCATGATGACAGTAAATTATTTTTTACTAGATATTTTTAGACACTTCTGTACAACTTTAAGTGACGCTTAACTAGGTTAACTAGGCAGGTTAGGGTAATTAGGCAAGTTATTGTGCAACGATGGTTTGTTCTGTAGACTATCAAATAAAAATATAGCTTTATTCTAGCTGAAATATAACAAATAAGGCTTTCTCTCGAAGAAAAAATATTATCAGACATACCGTGAAAATTTCCTTCCTCTGATAAACATAATTCGGGAAATATTTAAAAAAAGAGAAAAAAAATTCAAAGAAGGGCTGATAATTTTGACTTTAAATACATACACTAAATGACATCATAATACTATGACATGTAGTTTTCACCATGAAAAAAACAACCTTTACAATTACAACCTCACTGTATTATAAAATGTTATCTATAAACTAGATTATTAAAAAAAAAATTAATGCATAATTGTCTTTGTTTTTTCAGATACGCCACAGAGTTGTGTGATCCATGTGACTCAGCTGGAGAGAGATACAATATTAGTCTGCTTAGATCGTAAGTACAGAACATTAATAGATTAGTATCAGACGTGTGCGTTTCAGAAATAGTGATTAATTGCCTCTCCTTTTCCTCTCCAGGGTGCATTAAGATTGTGAATCTGCAAGGCCGCTTGAAGTCCAGTCGAAAACTCTCTGCAGAACTGACTTTTAACTTTCAGATCGAATCGATAGGTATGAGACCTTGGTGCATTAATGCGGGGCTGAAGTAAATGTACCTCCATTTTAACATCCTCTAAATGTAGCGAATAGCCGTTATGTATGATTTAATGGGTCCTATAAAGCTTTTTACACTTTCAGATTCCTTTAGTGTGTAATGTTGTTTGAGCATGAATAAGATGAAATCATAAAGGGCAGTTATTTCTCCGTCTGTAGTTCTGACTTTTCTACCAGTTTGTGTGTCAAGAAAAACCTTTTATCAGAAGTTTAAATTGACAAGACATGTGCAGTCACTTTTAAATCAATTCAAGTGTCTGAGGCACAGGCTGTAAAGGCTTTGCCCTCTTCTGTAGAGGGGGCAGAGAGCAGCAGCTTATTTGCATTTAAAGAGACGCACATCAAAACTGAATGTTCAAAAAGAGGGAGTTTGAGCTAAAACTTCCGACACATTCATAGGGCACCTGGGACTTACAGTACATCTTCTGAAAAAGTGTAACTGGAATCCCAAAACTATTTTATATGGCCAAAATGTGTTCATTTAAATGTCTTTTCTTGTTCTTTGGCTATTTCTGTTCCTCTTAGTTTGCCTTCAGGACAGCGTGTTGGCCTTCTGGAGGCATGGTATGCAAGGACGCAGCTTCAAATCCAATGAGGCAAGTGCAGCTTTATATGTGAGAAATGATGCACAGATAGTCTGTAGATAATAACTCAAAACAAACATTGACAGCGTATATATCGATGTACAGTATACATACACACACACACACACACACACACACAAACGCTACTATATTAGGTACACCTGTCCAACTGCTCGTTAACAAAAATTTCTAATCAGCCAAACACATGGCAGCAACTCGATGCATTTAGGCATGTAGACATGTTGAAGATGATCTGCTGCAGCTCAAACCGAGCATCAGAATGGGGAAGAAAGGTGATTTAAGTGACTTCGAACGAGACATGGTTGTTGGAGCCAGACGGGTTGGTCTGAGTATTTCAGAAACTGCTGATCCAGTGGGATTTTCACACACAACCATCTCTAGGGTTTACAGACAATGGTCTGAAAAAGAGAAAATATCCACTGAGTGGCAGTTCTGTAGGTGCAAATGCCTTGTTGATGCCAGAGGTCAGAGGAGAATGGCCAGGCTGGTTACTGCTGATAGAAAGGCAACAGTAATTAAAATAAGCACTCGTTACAACCGAGGTATGCAGAAGAGCATCTCTGAACACATAATACATCAAACCTTGAGGCAGATGGGCTACAGCAGCAGAGGACCACACCGAGTGCAACTCCTGTCAGCTAAGAACAGGAAACTGAGGCTACAATTCACACAGGCTCACCAAAATTGGACAATAGAAGACTGAAAAAACTTTGCCTGATCTGATGAGTCTCGATTTCTGCTGCGACATTCAGATGGTAGGGTCAGAGAGTGGCGTCAACGACATAAAAGCATGGATCCATCCTACCTTGCATCAATGGATCAGACTGGTGGTGGTGTAATAGTGTGGGGAATATTTTCTTGCCATACTTTGGGCTCATTAGTACCAATTGAGCATCATGTCAAGGCCACAGCCTACCTGAGTATTGTTGCTGACCATGTCCATCCCAAAGTGTACCCATCTTCTGATGGCTACTTCCAGCAGGATAACTCGCCATTGTCATAAAGCGCGAATCATCTCAGACTGGTTTCATGAATACTATAATAAGTTCACTGTACTCAAATGGCCTCCCCAGTCACCAGTTCTTAATCCTTTAGGATGAGGTGGAATAGGAGATTCGCATCATGGATGTGCTGCCGAAAAATCTGCAACAATTGCGTGATGCTATCACGTCAATATGGACCAAAAATCTATGAGGAACATTTCCATGTCTATGTATATGTCTATGTATGTTTGTATGTATGCGTGCATGTACATTTCTTCCTCATTCATATCTTTTAATCAATATTTAATCACAGCTACCATTTTAGTCACTAAATATATTTATGGTAACAAAGTAAAAAGAAAGAAAAAAAGTGTGATTTATTAGAATGATATGACATGTATATTGTGCAATCCCGCTGTTTCTATTCCAGATTACACAGGAGATTTCTGACAACTCCAGGATATTCAGGCTGCTGGGTTCAGACAGGTGAGAAGAACGAATCCAGTCATAAAGAAATCATTCTTTATGTAATACTGTACACTGTATAACTCAGCGCCGGTCCATGTTTTATTATTATAGGCCATGCATTTGCAGAAAGGTCAAAGGTATTTGTTTTTGTGTTGATCTTTTATAGAGTGGTGGTTTTGGAGAGCCGACCGACAGATAATCCCACAGCACACAGCAACCTTTACATCCTGGCAGGCCATGAAAACAGCTACTGACCGCATTGCATCCTGGGTAAAAACACTACACGCCAAACTGCAGGATTGCAAGAGCCTTCGGTTCCCTGTGGCCCAGTGACAACTGACCACAACTCTGAAGAACCACAGATACGCTGTTTCTGGACCACTGAGAGCCCAGAGGAGGACTTGAATAAATATGAAGAGCGGGATGATAGTTTCTCAGAGAACAGACCGGCTATAATCACAGCACACACTACAGTATGCACTTTCACCTTTACCTGCTGCAGACGCCAACATTTGATTCGGCTTTGAGCAGCTTTAATTTAGTTTTTAGCTGAAACACACATCACATCCTTTTGATTTTTATTAGATTTTGACGAGGTTTGTTTGATTTCTGTTTTATGTGCTTTTTTAGATATCTGTTGTTTTGCTTCACTTTTTGTTTTATTTTACTCTGCTCATCTTTGTGTTGTGCATTTTGTTTATTTGCTTTACTCTTTGTTGCTTAATTTATTTGTTCTTCCTTGCTTTTTGAATTTATTTGACATAGCTTTTTGTCGTTGCTTTATTTTGGTTTAGTTTTGCCTTGTTTTGGTTGCTGTTTTGTTTTGCTTTGCTTTGTTTATTTTACATTTGTTTAGCTTTTTGTTTTATTTTACTTCGCTCTTTTTCTTTCTGTTTTCATTGTGTTTTACTCTTCGTTGCTTTATTCACTTGTTTGTTTGTTTTTTTCTTTGCTTTACTTTGGTTTAGTTTTGATTTTTTTTTTTTTTTTTGCCTTGTTTTGGTTGATCCATTTTGTTCTCCTTTACTTTTTGTGCTTTGCTTTGTTTCATTTACATTTGTTTAGCTTTTTTTTTATTTTACTTCGCTCTTTTTCTTTCTGTTTTGCATTTTGTTTATTTGCTTTACTCTCTGTTGCTTTATTTAATTGTTGTTCCTTGCTTTTTAAATTTTATTTAACATTGCTTTTTTGTTGTTGTTGCCTTATTTTGGTTTAGTTTTGCCTTGTTTTGGTTGTTCTGTTCTGCTTTTTGTGCTTTGCTTTAGTTTTGTTCACTTTTGTTTAGCTTTTTAGATTATTTGCCTTAGATTTTTGTTCATTTTTTACACTATTTTGTCCACTACTCTCACTTGACGCTAATCACACAAGTGCTTGAAGACACATATTTAATTCATGTACATACAGTCGTAGTATCGTTAAGTTGTGCTCTTTGTATCAATCATGTAGATTTCAGCACATTTATATATTGTACAGGTTTGTGGCAGCTTTTGGCTGTTGTAAAGGACTGTGAGATGCTGGTACTACTTAAAATGACCTCTAGGGCCAGATAATGTCTGTTATATGCAATAGTTTAGGAATCACAAAGCTGAAGTGCCCATTTTCCGAGACTTGCCTTCTTAACATTTTTTTTTTGTTTTTATTTGTGCAACATATATATATATATATATATATATATATATATATATATATATATATATATATATATATATAAGCCAAATGGTGTTTTTAATGAGCTACTTTTAATTCAATGGCCCACGTAATTGTTTTTAACTCTGTGGTATGCACTCACTTCAGAATTTGCACATTGTTATTAAAATGTTGATGTGTATATGTAATTGTATGTTTGAAACCATGCGGATAACGTATATAGATATATGCACATGTATTTTTTGTAAATGTGTTTACATGTTTAACCCTAATAAGCAATAAATCATTAGGATGTTTTTTTTATCTTTTTAAATAACTCGAACTGTAAGACTCACAGGCTCATGTTAATCCAGTTGTGTTTGTGTGTAATTTGAATGAGGGACACACTAGTGACATGACGATGTTGGTTTTGCTGATTGGCATTATATCTCTTTCAGACCTTTCATTATAATTACATCATCAGAAAGGACAAAAATCATGTTTGTTTATCTGTGATTGAAAAGTTAACCCACGTACGGAATTCTCCTCCTTTGCTTCACTGTACATACTGTAAAATAAAATCACATGGTTTTACATACTGAAATGTCTTTTGTGTTTTAATAGTAATTTGCTTGCGTTTTCCATAGATTGTAAAGAAAAAATGATGTTTTATCATTATTATTATTGTATGCTTTTATTTTTTATATTTCAAAGACTTCTAGGAGGATTTTTTTTCATTAGATTTGCTGAACAGTACAAATCAAATGCGCAGTACATCTTACAATAAGATATTTACATTTTAGCATAAAATATGTAAGGAAAATAAGCTTTATATCTCCTGAGTAACAGGTTGGTTGGATATATTTTATGTATAATTTTAAAGTGGATTTCCCTAACTTTGTTATATAATATTTGATGTCCAGATCCAATTCCAACTTATATAATTTATTTTCGGCTTAGTTCCTGTATTAATTAGGGGTCGCCACAGCGAAATGAACCAGCTGTAACCCATCACTAGGAAACATCCAACACACTCATTTACACACATAAGTTACACTACAAACAATTCACCTTCGTCTCTGGACTTGTGAAACTTGAGCAAACTGGAGGAAACGCCAACACGGGGAGAACATGCAACCTCCACAAAGAACCGCCAACTGACCCAGCCGGGGTTCGAACCAGCAACCTTCTTGCTGTAAAACGATTGTGCTGCCCCCAAATTCCAATTTATAATCTAAAATTGGTTATTGCAAAAGTACGTAAATCTAAAAGTTGCAGGATGGCGAATCAAACGTCTAAGAAATGTGTTATTACATTTTCTATCATTGATATCAAAACCATCTAATAAAATCTCTTTTAACTTTCCAGAACGTGTATAAAAAAAAACACAGGAAGTTAATTTGACACAACCGGAAAGAGACTTTTATCTTACAATATTATACTCTGGTTGTTTCGCTGTCGTAGTCAACATGGCAGCGTCCAGTGTTTTTAAAGCAGGTCTTTTCAATCACAAAGTCGCAGTCGTGACGGGTGGCGGGACTGGCATTGGAAAAGCCATCACTTCTGAGCTCTTACAGTTAGGTATAAGTTTACCATGAGTTTTGACGATGGTTTTGACCTTGTCTTTAGATCAGCACTTGCATAGCCGTGAACTTTAGTCCAGATATTGAGCGACACCGCAGTCAGTAATGTATTAAAATTGACAAAAAAAAGTTAAAATGTGTCTATCTATCAAATAAATTAACTTCTTTAAACAGCAGGTGAAATAAGATCAAATAAATTGCTAAAACAGTTGAATGACAATTACATTAAGTGTTAATATTCCTGAATTACGAGTTTTCTCAAATTTTTCATTTAATCATGTAAATTAAGGCATTGTTTTGTTTTTGTGCTATATTTTGCATACATTTTAGTTTTTCGATACAGAGAAGGTTTTCTGTGTATCTCTTTTTGATCATTCCATAATCCAGAAAATACTGCAAACATCCTTTTTTCTTGTAGAATTCAATGTGTGTAATCGGAGAGTTAATGTAAAGTATTATCTTGTAAAAACGATAAGTTTTTTATTGCAAAGAAATGCAGCAAATTCTCCAAATTAAAATCCCTAAACTAAAAATAGTTACACAATTCCTTATGATATTAACAGAGAAATATATCCCTTTACATGATCTTCCATTTATAAAAAAACTATTACAGAAGTAAGTGGGAAGTGGACTTGATGTTTATAAATAGTCATAAAACTTAAGGTTTTATAACAGAAACGCATTAAGTTGAATAGAAGTTATACTCAATCCATTTCGACCAAAAGCCAACATATACTGTATATATTTTTGTTTATTTAAGTAATTTTCTCTGTAATAAATATACTTTAAGCAAAGTTAAACTCATTTAAAAATGTGGCTAAGAAAGAACTACATTTGATTATTATAGCATGCAAAAAAAATTCTATTGGCCCAACTGGGCTGTTATCAAAAATCCTTAGTGTTTAACCATGTCTAAGACGGAGCAGCAGCGTTTTAGAATGAAAACGGCCTCTTCAGCGTTTCCAAAATGTGGACGGATGGCTTAACAGTAGCATAACTTGTGCGTTTAAAACAAAATCGCATTAGTGTAAACAGGGACTAAGTCTAAAATCTATCAATAATGGTATTAAAAAGTCTTAAATTTGACTTGATGAACGCTGCAGAAACCCTGTGTAAGCACGTTATTTCCTATCGTAGGTTTTCTGCTATTCTGTGTTGTACGTTTTTCCACATCAATTTTACCTGAGGGGATTTCGTATTTATTTTGATCTGTAGTTTTATGCATGTTAAAGTAAAAGTGTGGTTTTTTTCTGCATTAAAAAGATGCTGTGTTTTCTGACATGTTTCTATTAATTATAGGCAACACAAGAGTTTAAAAAATCAAATGTTTGGTGGAATAATGACAACATTTAAACATTTTTATTTTGGCCAATTGTCACATTTTGAGGAAAAAGTATTTAACCAAATGACAATATTTTAACTTAAAATTTCCAAGAATTGTCATCAGACATTTATAGTTTAAACAAATATTAAAAAAATATTTTTTTAAATTTACATTTTACTTAAACCAGACAGAATCTGCTGACATTTTTTGCTATTTCTGCGCAGAATTTTGTACAAAATCTGCAGATTTACACAGAATGATTTTAAGGGTAAAGTAACCAAAACACTTAACACATAAAATAAAAAACAAATTTTCTAAACAAAGTGTCTCATCTACTAAAAGACAGAACTATTACTCTGTTTTGCCCTGTGAAAGCACATTGTTTCTTATCGTTGGTTTTCTGCAATTGCCTGAAAAAAGATGTGGTCTAATCAAACATGCTCTAGTTTTTGGGTTGCATGTTTTTCCACATCACTTTTACATGAGGGGATTTGATATTTATTTTGATCTGTAATTTTATGCATGTAAAGTAAGCGCTACTAAAGTGGATATTTCAAGTTATTGTTTACAGTTTAAGCAAATGACACAACATGCAGTACCTTCTACTGTATGTCCTGTAGATGGCATTGCTTGGCCTTTGTAGCAGCATCAAACTGCTCCTCACAAACGAGGTGTTGTGATCATATATTAACTGAAATTCTTCACGCCGCTGCTTGAGGTAAAGTTGGTGTTCTTCTG